ATGCCATGACCGCATGTATATCTACCCGCATGGGTTACAAATCATCCACCGTTTATTCAACAAATACTTGTTGAATACCTGTTGATTGACAGATAGATTGTAAATCATTCACCATTAATTCAGCAAATATTTATTGAGTACCTATTGATTCTCAAGCACTGGGTATATATTAGAGAACAAACGAGAATAAATTATTCCTGTCCTTGTAGAGCTTATATTGTAGCGAGCGAGGCCAGCACTAAACAAAATACATCAATAGGATAAATGCATAGCTTGCTAAGTAATAGGAAGGAGATATGGGGGAAGGGAAGCAAAGAAGTGGGGCAGAAAGTGTGAAAGGGCAGAACGGCATTCCAGTGAGGGAGAGAGCAGACCGTGTGGCTTAAGTGGGGGAAGGCTGTTCGAGACCTAGGGAGTGACGCTACGTGCAAAGGCCCTGAGTTGGGATGGACCAGATGAACGATCCGTGTGGAGCAGAACAAGCTAGAAGGAGAGTGGTATGGGGTCTGGGAGGTTGGTGAGCCAGAATATGTGGGCCTTGCAAGTTACAGCAAGGGTTGTGACTGGTCTCGGAGAGAGGTTGGAAACGGAGAAGTTTTCGGAGCAGAGGAGTGTCTTGACCTGAGCTGTGTTTATCCAGGATCGCTGTGGCTGCCATGCTGGACTGTGGGGAGTTAGGGCGGAAGCGGAGAGGCTAGGTAGGACAATCCAGGTAAAATAGAATGGTAGCTCGGCATGGGTGGACCAGAGGAGGGACAGTGAATTCTGGATGTGTGAAATGTGGACTAGATTTGCAGAACTCCTTGGCACCTATTTCTTGGGTATTGAAATTCTAGTTAATATAATGTAACCAATCCTAAATGATGTATTATAGGTATGTGATGACACTTAAATTTTAACAACACATTCCTTTACATGTCATCTACTGATTTTCTGTAGTGTTTGCAATTTTTCTAACATCATAGTGTTTTTAATATGAAGTCTTAAAGACATCTTTGTTCTAAAAAAATATCTTTGCTATGTGTTAAATTTATAACCTTGCAGTCCATACTAAATGTACTTTTCATTTTGGTGAAATTAAGTAGTAAGAAAGGACATTTTCACACACTACCCTCTTACATCTCAGTTCGGAGTGGTTCTTGAAATCCAGAACCTGAAATCAGACTTCTTGGGAAATTCTTTTTTTAAGTTTTCTTCTCCTGAAATGAATATGCAAATGATCTGTGGGTTTGAAGGAGAAAAGAAAGATCAGTTTTTAATTTGTCAATTCATCAGCTTCATTTCTTTTTTGTCTCATCTTGTCATCAATTTGAAAATTCAAGAATATTTTCTGAACCTTTTTATTTCATCCTTTTTATTTCATCGCACCCCACCTTTTTCCAGAAGAGTTTTTAGGCAACTCGTGAAACTGTGAGAAGGTGGCTTTGAGAATTTTTCTCACCCACCGCGGCCTGGCATCTCCGGTTCCCACGCAGACGCGTAGAGTGGGTCTCACTTGGTCCCTATCGGCCGCACTGCGGCACTTCGGCACTTCAAGAGCGAGTGCTGGACTCGTGACCAAGATGAGCCGGTGCTCCACACTGTCCAGTCCCACGTTCCATGCTTCAGATTTCGCACGTTCCATGCAGAAAATACAGAAATTCGAATAGAAATCATATTACCTTAGAAATACTCAGTTTTGTAAAATTTTGTTGACTTTCTCAATATGCACACGGCAGAGAAATTTATAGGCATGTATTTTATATGTCTATATAAAAACAATCTACTGTGCAAACTTCACTAAACTTCTTTTAAACAGATATTGTGAACTTTTCCCTATTAAGTAGTTAGTATTCTTCAACAGTATTTTCAAGAATATGAATAATTTATGATAATTTTGTGATATATTTAAGCAATTTCATCTTCCACAATATTTAAGTTGTTTCCATTATTTTAGTATTGGAAGCTGCACTGTGGTGAATATAGTGGCGTAATTATTTGTATTTATTTTCAGTTGAGGATATTTGTGGCTGTATTTCTATGGATTTGGATGTGTCATGGGTATACAATTATGGAAAGTTAGAAGTCGAAGAGATCCCAGTTTCTTCTTTCGTAGGTAAGAAGTTGAAGGAACTGGGATGTTTAGCTAGCTTCTGCCACCTGTTAGTGGTGGCGTGAACGACAGTTAAGAGATTGGGCGGACTGTGCTCAGTTCAAGTCCTGACTTCAATAGTAGTAGCTAACGCTCATTGAACACTCCCCAAGTGCCAGGCCCTGTTGTAAGCAGTTTATACTGGTATTAATTATTTTAATCTTTACCACAACTGTGTAAGGAAAGTTCTATTATTAACCCTGCAATAGTGTTAATAAAATTGAAGTTTTGAAATGTTTAGTTACTTGCCCAGAGTCACGTAGCCCGTATCAGAGCCAGGAGATAACCCCAGCAGCCTGACGCAGTCCACGCCGTCACCCTGCCCTGAGCAGCCCCGGCGAACGCTGCTAGCTCAGCGTCTGGGTGTCTGTTTAATGTTAGTTTGTTTCTGCTGCACGGCGCTGTAATCCAGGGGTGGTTTTGGTTCCAATAGTTTTTGGAGTTTAGAAAGATAATTAATTTAGTGCATATACTCTATTTTATGTAACAGTCCTACTGGGGTTTGGAGCAGCATCTCATAAGCATGTTTGTTTTTATAATAAGTGAGATTAAAAATCAGAAAAATAGCCTGAAGGGAGTGCAGGCTGCCGAATGGGTTGTGGGAGCCTCTGACTTCTAGCATTGCAGGCAGGGGTTGTGGGCCTGCACAAAACTACAGGGAGAAGAGTGGCTGGCATGTAGAACACACATGTCTGGGGATACTGCTGCTTCTGGGAGTACTAGTTTTCAGACACGTACATACTCATCTGCAGGAGGAACTGGTGAGTCACGCAGTGCTAGGTGTACTTTTCTCGCAGTGTGACGTCAGCACTCCCTAAGTCAGAGTGGGGCGGGCTTGCCTGATAGCCTTCCTGGTCTCTCCCTGCCCTAGAGGAGGAGGCACGTCTCGCCTAGGGCTCCCATCCCCGTCTGTTTGCACTCCCAGTTGTGCAGCATGCAGTCTGAGTCCCGAGAAGCTGAACTCGGATTTTCAGCCTTTCAGAGATCTACGTGAAATAACGTTTCACGTTGTCCTTGCCCTTGATTACAGCCCCTTTCTTTACTTTTCCATCATTGTGGAGGGATAATTGACATGTAACATCGTGTAATATTAAGATGTACAAAATGATGGTTGGGTACATGTAGATTCTGCGAAATGGTCCCCACAATAAAGTTAACAGCTCCACCCCGTCACATAATTACCTCTGTGTGTGTGGTCAGAACACTTAACGGTCTTCTCTCTCGGCAGCTTCGAAGCCTGTCGCGTACAGCACTGTTAACTGGGGCCCCCAGGCTGCACTATACATTAGACTCCCCGGGCCGACTCATCTCATAACCGGAGGTCTGTGCCCTTGACCAGCATCCCTCACGTCCCCCAACGCCCAGCCCTGGCATCCACCATCCCAGGGTCTGCTTCTATGAGTCCAGTCTCTTCAGATTGCACTTGTCAGTGAGGTCATTCAGTATTTGTATTCCTGGGTATGGCTCATTCGAATTGGTGTCATGGTCTCCAGCTTCATCCACGTTGTCACAAAAGCAAGATCCCCTGCCTTGTTATGGATTAGTAATATTAAATAAATAAATAACATTTTCTTGGTCCATTGATCCATCGATGGACATGTAAGTTGTTTCTGTGTTGTATAGCCCCCTTTAAAAAGCAGGAACCCTCTAGGAACATAACTAAACCCCTCATTTCTGCAGCTTGAGCAGATATGACTGAAGACTAAAGTTACTGTATTTCAAATTGAGATATTTTCTCTTTCTTCCCCCCATTTTAATCAATGAAAAGCTATAATCACAGTATTACAGCCATTTAAGACAATTACTAAGGGATGTTTCAGTGTATATCATAATAGACACTGATTTTAATTATATGGTCATATTTTATTGTCATTTGATCCACATATAAACTTATTAAATGCCCTTGATATGTTCATTTGCTATTAAGATTTTTTAAAATTTGGCACTTGAGCTTAAACCTGTTCTTCATCCTTGGAAATGTCCGTTTGCACTGTTGGAAGGTGTACAGTGTATATAGTCTGTTCTCCCCTTCTGCATGTTAAGGTTGCAAGTGTTGTCTGCGCCTCCAGCCTCCAGTAACTGCAGATACCGTTGTCTCTCCTGCTGCGTTAGTTCGCTCTCTGCCCTTCGGCGGTGAGCTGGACAGGCCCTCTGAGGTTACCTGGTCAAACTGAAGCAGAGGAGTGGAAACAAATGTAATCTGTTTGTTGAGGGTGAAAATACGGGCTTATTGATTTATATTTGATAGGTTTTTGATTCATAACTAAAATACAAAATAGAGAAATAGCTGTTCCATTTTTTTGTTGTTGTTTGAAAGGAATTTGTAAAACTAGTAGTTTGTAGAGCTGTTAGCCTTAATGGACCTTTAGGGTTTGGGGCTGTGTAGGTGTGTGTGTGTGTGTGTGTGTGAGAGCTGGGGGTGTGGCATAGTGTGTAAGACTATGTGGAGTGAAAATTAATATCATTTTCAGTTTGTTTCATTTTGCTTGATCTTACAAAACAGATTTGTGTTGAAATTTGGCATTCAGTATTTAATAAGCTCTAGTAATTTTGTCTTGTACATTTTGGTCAATTTCTTAGTGATAGTACATGTCAAGTTTAAATTCCAGGGCAGAAAACTTGAAAAGGAGGATGTGATATATAATTACCAACATACAGTATTCACAAATACAGTTATTTGTTTGGCACTTGTTCATTAATGTAACTTTTTCAGTTGACAATGTTATTTGATTTAGGATGTTAGAATTTGAACTGCATGGAAATCATTGATAATTTTGGTATTTGTTTTTTTACAGAGAGGAAAAAGGAAAATGGATGACTGGAAAATGTATTATTTGTTGTATCTTAAAAGTTGTATTTCCTTTTCTAGGTTGCTGTGGTAAAACTGAAAAATGCAGACAAAGTATTTGCCATGAAAATATTGAATAAATGGGAAATGCTGAAAAGAGCGGAGGTAAGATTCTAATTACTGGAATGTTTAATATTTTAGGAATATTTTTAGAGAAACTATAATATTATAGAAAACCAATGGATTCTTAGATATCATTTAATATTTTATCTATGATGACATGTTCTAAGGCCTGAGACAAATTTTAGTAATTCACAATTGTGATATGGTTATGATAAAAGTTATAATTCATAGGTTGTAATTTGATATTGTCTGAAAACCAAATGGTAACCCTTGTAATGTGGGGCTTACCCCTTTATGTTAAAAGGATGTGTGGAAAATAGTTTTTTTTATATGGAGAAATTTAGTAACGATTGATTGTGAATTTGTTATAACTCATTTATACCATTCTGTATTTATCTATATTCTGCTCCAAGGAAAAGTCAGCAGGAGCTTTGAATATGCCCTCTGAGAATTCTGTTCATTGCTGGTCATGCAGTTAAATTTGTTTTGTTTTACATTATTAAACATGGTAGTAAAATCTGCTCTTGTAACAGTCGTTAGCATGTTTATGTTGGTGCCAGATTCGGGGGAAGATTGGTTGGCGTGGCACTAAAACCACCTCAGATGGCGTGGCGTGGTCAGAGCTGGCGTCACACACGGATCTGGGGTGGGGCTCTGTGCCCAGTCAGGCGCTTGGGTCTCCGGGGAGCAGCACTCACTGGTACGTTCATTTCAGCACTCGAACCTGTGGAAGGGTTGTGCTGTTGCCTGCACTGAGAGTTAGCCCTGGAGGTCAGCAAAATCTGTGAGAGGATGGTGAGCAGTTCACCCTTAGAAATCCTTCTGTACCTGCCAGTGCTTGTAGCAGCCTAAAGAAGAACAGACATACAGGGAGAAGCAAAAAAACTTTCCCGTGGGATGGATACAGTGGTAGTGAACACCAGTACTCCACTATTTCCTTGTTTGGGGAAATTTGAAAAATACCACAAATACAAAGAAGAAACTAGTCACTTGACTCCCATCACCTAGAATTAATCAGTAACATTTTTGGCAGGTTTTTGCTTCCAGTTTTTTTGTCCAATGGGTCTACTGAAAAAAACTGCACAAGTGAAATACAGATCCATTCTTTATAAAATGAATTAATAGCATATAGCAGATAAAGCCAAAGTACTCTTTGAGCACACCCCACCCAAGTCCAGCTCCTCTCTGACTCCCACAGGAAATGACTGTGTAACAGTATCTGTTTAAACAGTATCTGGAAGTGTTCATGGCACTCTCTGGTCTGCGTGCCAGTGCCCACTGTGTTCAGTAACTTCAGTCTTCACTTTTGGGTTTCCCTAGGACTGAATTGCCTTACTGGCACTGCTTGATTTTCCAGGTAGTCAGCATTGAGATTGATTTTAATGTGCAGTATGCTTACTGGGGAGTTCTTTTGGAATTGGCATCTATGGGAGGGAGAAGATATGCCAGGGAGAAGTCAGCCTGTTCCCATAGCCTCTGTTGGCAGAACAGGGAGCCACGGAGCAGCAGTGGTCCTTCGGGGTTGTCCTGCATTGGCCCAAATAACTGACTTTTATTACGCACCTGCCTCAGTCGGTCGCTGGATACAGGCTACCTCCAGAAGGACACGGCTTGCACGATTAGGTTCTCTGCAGCTGAGGCGAGCCTGAAGGAGCTCAGCATGTTATCAGCTGCTGGAGCCACAAGTCTTATTAAGAACTAGTGAATAAGTATGTTGTGATAGTTTCACAGAAATCATAATTGTAGTTAATTTAGTATTGCAGAATTAGTTAGAACTCTTAAAAATTGAGTTAAGTTTGTCCTTTTTATGAAGTTGGATGTGCTGGGGAAGAGTTGTGAAAAGGAAAGGTAACTGGGTTAGCTTTCATCACTGATTGGAAAAACTGGCAAAAGTGAAGGTAAAACAAGAGACAGTTGACGATTAAATATTGTTTTGTTGAACTAAAAAACCATATATTCTATTTCTGGGGCCCACTGGAATGGAAACTCTCCTCCCCATCCCTTCCAGTAAGTACAGCCAAAGGTGCTGCACACTGAACGTAAAAGAAGCATGCGGAAACGCTGCAGGGCTGAGAGAAGGTGGTGGACCAGCTAGGGACCTCGGGGCCTGCGGAGCGACCCTCTTCTCTGAAGTCAGTAGTGCATCAAGCTGGTCATGCCACCGCAGGAGTGCATGCAGCGCCATACAGAAATGAAAGGGACCACGGGAGGGCGCTAGTCAGGGAAGCTCCTGGTGGCTGCCCTGGAGTCCTCCAGTTTATGATTTTAAAATAGTGTTTACTCTAAGGGGTTTGCATGTCGTGCTGGCTCTAGAGTTTATCTGCCCCTTCAGTTAAACTCCTCAGTAGAGGAACCCCTGGCTTCGGAGGGCAGATAGACAGCGAACTTTGGTAGCTATTGCCAAATCGTCTTCTAAAAACACTGGACCGGTGTATCTTTGTACTCAACAGTGTGTAAATGTGTTTGTTGGCTCGCTCATTTGCCAATTGTGGATGTTAGCAAGTGATTTCTCTTTTTTGAATTATATGAAAAAAAAATTCTTGTTGAAAAATAAGTTCAAAAATGACACATCTCATGTTTGATTTAGTCACCAAATATATAGTGGAGATTCAAAAGTAAATTGATGTCTTAGTGTATAAGAGGTGATATTGAAATTTTTGCATTTTGCACTTTAAAATTCTACTTACCTGTTTTCTTTTAATGGAAAAATTTGGCATTTCCTCCTCAAATATTAGATTAGAGAGAATAGTTCAGTTATTATTTGAAAGAGTTTTCTGTGATGATATTTTACAGGTGAGAGAAGTCTTTATGACTAATAAGCGAGAAGCCGTAGTGCATGTAATCAGGGGTGGCCTTTCTTGTTTTAACACACGATTTCCAAGTGTTCAGGAAATTCTGGCGTGCTGGGTGGGAGTGCCTAAGAGTGTTGGTCTGGCGGGTGTGTGCCGATGGGTCTGGGGGGAGAATCCTGTGACAATTTTGCAGATTGTTTTTCTCTATATCCAGTCCAGAAGTTAACTTCTGTTTTCATCGTGGGTATTCCTATTGCTGTTTCTCTTTAACCAGTGTAGCCCGTTAAGGATAAAATTTAAACAATATATAACTGAATATTAAAAATAAAATACTTCAAAGCAGTTAAAACCATGACTGCTGCACGCAAAATATTTGGTTAAATAGAAACTGCGTGATGATAGAATCTGAAGAAGTTAACGTGATCTCCAGTAACCCCTCCTACATGTTTACCGCATCCTTAGAGTCTTGAATATCCTGTTTTGAAAGGGGGATATTTAAAAAAATTGAGTTTTTGAGACATCCCAATAAGAAAAAGATAGTTATCAGAGAAAATGGGCAAAAGGGAATGAACAGTTTAACGAGAAAACTCAGATGGTCAATAAGCATATACAGTTATTTATTTGCACCTGTAATTAGGCATAAGTTAATTAAAAGAACAATGAGTTCTTTTAGACCTTGGCGTGTGGGAAATGTGTCATACAGAGATATTACACTTACATTGTCACATAAAAGTCTGATAATGCCAACTACAGTTGAGGATGTGGGGAGAAGGGTGAATATCATATACTAGGGTACGAGTAGTGTCAGTAGTTCAGTAGTTGGTACAGCACTTAGAGAAGAAAATTGGCTGAGTATGGTACAGTTGATACTGCTTCTGTCTAGCATTTCTACTTTTAAGTGTATACTGTGGAGAACTCTTGTACATTTGTTCAAATATATTACTGCAACATGTAATAGCACAAAATTGGAAATAAGTGTTTTCATGATTAGGATGTTTGCATAAATTACGGTGTATTCAAACAATGGAGTACCATAGCAATTAAAAGGAAAACAAGTCATGATTGAGTAAAAATTAATCAAGTTGTAAAAGGATAGATAAAAATATATCATTTATGGAAATTTTCAAAATACAAAACAATTGTGTTATTTTTAGTCACAGACATGTGACCAAAGCATATGATGGAAGGAATAATACTAACTTCAGATTACTTATTATATCAGGGGAGGGAAGGAGGAGAATGTTATTGAGGTAGGAAGGCCACAACTTGCATCTTATTTTCTTAAAAAGAAGATCAGAAGTGAGTGTGGCAAATTGTTGATACGTATGTTATCTCAGTGGTAGGTTGGATCATGCTTATTGAATGATGCTGTGTATTTCCTGATTTTTTTTTGAACTCTTCACAGTATTTTAAGTGTACTATTCCAGTTGTCTAATTCTGAGTGTGCCTTAAAACTTGTCTTGTTGAAACTCCTGTAATATTGGATATACCATTTTTCCAGAACAGAAAGTGTAATAAACATACTAAGCAATCGTTTGCATAATATATTTCCTAGTTTTACGCAGTGTCATCTCTCTAAAATTTTTTTCCTCTTTTCAGACAGCCTGTTTTCGTGAAGAAAGGGACGTCTTAGTGAATGGAGACAATAAATGGATTACAACTTTGCATTATGCTTTCCAGGATGACAATAACTTAGTAAGAATTGTTTCTTCCCATTTTTATTGAGAAATAATTGATATGTATCACTGACTAATTTTAAGGCCTACGGCACGATGGTGTGATTTACATGTGTGGTGAAATGATTACCATAGTGGGTTTGGCTAAGACCGTCTTCTCATGTGGATGCACTAAAAAGAAAAGAAGAAGAGGGAAAAAGGGAAAAAAATTCTCCATGTGTTGAGAACTCTTCGGACTTACTCTCTGAACACCTTCCCTGTGCGTCCTAGAGCGGTGATCGCCGCAGCGGTCGCGCTGCGCACTGCGTCCTTAGTGCTTACTCATCTCAGGACTCGCAGTCTGTGCCTGCCGACCTCCTTCCTTCACTTCCCCGCCAGCCCCTCACCTCTGGTGGCAGGTCGGATCTCTTCCTGAGTTTCGGGTCTGAAAGGACTGGGGCCGTTTGAATGAGAGTGAGGCTAGGGTGATTAGAGTGTGGCACGAAGGGGAAAGAGACATGAAATGAGGCTTCCAGAGTGTGTGGGTCATGCTGAGGGATTCAAAGTGGGTTTTAAGGAGAGTGTGATAAAGTTTTATATTTTCCATAGAACATCCCGGCCACAGTGCGGAGGATGGGTTTCAGGAGCAAGACTAGAGAAGGAAACAGTTTGGAGATTTGGGCAGCGTTCAGGTGACAGATGATGAGGGCTTAGATAGAGGTGATAATACCCTAGTAGGGGTGAAGAAGGAGGGGATGGTTTCAGATACTGTTTAGGAAACAAAATAATTAGAACTCTGTGTTTGAGTGGAAGTCAGTGGGGGAGCGGAGTTGGGATGGTTCCCAGTTCTCACTTGTGGCGTTTAGTGGTTAGCACTCGATGAATTGAGGTGGAGAATGTAAGAGGAAGAGAAAATTTAGAGTAGGGGTAAGAGTATTCATTTAATTTGGTATGTGTTAGGCTTGAATTATCACGTGACGTAATTAATGGGTTAGATACATGCCTGGCGTGCTGAGGGTGCATAGCACTGCGGCTCTGGGGGTGCTCACACATCAGGTCTCGGCAAACTGTGGCCCACAGCTCAAACCTGGCTCTACCTGTGTCTGTGCAGCCTGCAGGTAAAGAATTGTTTTTTATATTTTTTAAATAGTTGAAAAAAAGAGAACATTTTGTGAATGTGAATATTATATAAAACTCAAACTTCAGTGGCCATAAAGTTTTATGGGAACACAGCCATGCCCATTGATTTATGCACTTCGTCCATGGCTGCCTTTGCGGTCCAGGGGTGCAGCGACAGAGGGGAACACACGGTGTGCGTTGCTGTCACTGCTTTGCACTGCTGCTCAGCAGATTACAAATTACAGTGACAGTTATAACTCGATTGGCACTGCAAGTGCTACGTATATTGCCGTACTGTGACATTTTACTGTTTTTGTTAATAGTGCATATGCATTATGGCAGGTTAAAGAGAGGAAGGAGGATGCAATTATACTACACCTGTACGAATAGGGTACAGTAACTGCCTGCATTGCCACACAAGCACTCATCACAGCATTCCTGACTCACAGGAAAGCAGCAGTCAGCAAAGTTAGAAAGTGTAGAACAGAGTATCTTATCACGGCAGAACTCCTTCCTAAAAACATAAAAAGAAATGAGGCTGTGACTCTAGGAAGTTCCTTCAGTGGCTCATGTGTGAGGCCAGCAAGGAAAGCCACTCACCAATGCTGAGATGATTAAATCATGTTTGATTGCAGTGGCCAGAGAAATGTGGCCACAGAAAATTAACTTGTCCTAAACTATTAGCCTTTTGGCGAGAACAGTTGCTCCAAGAGTTGAGGGAATTGGGAGCCACATCAGCGGCTGATTATAAAATCAAGGAAGTGATTCTGAGTGGTTTTCTTTGACCCGAGCTGAAAGATGTTACTGATTCTGCTCAATTCTTGTTATTTGACGAGTCAGTGCTGAGTTTGAAGTAACTGAAGAATCAGCCTGTGTGAGTAGTTTGTGTGGTATAGTTACAGTCAATAGTATTTTCAAACAAGTTCAGAAAACATTAATTTGGCACAAACTGAATTGAAACATGCGAAGATGTATTATTACACCTGAGCGTGAGGAAAATAGGTGTGAAGCAGAAAGAGACTAGTTGGACGTATATGTAAATCACTAACTATGAGGTGCTTACAGCCTATGGATGGTCATGGTCTTACCAAAAGGTAGGTAGTCCGCAGCAAATACTTGAACCTCTCGTGTGTTATTGAATCAGTAGTATCAGCACTGAACTTCATCCAGTCTCGTGGAGGCATGTGTTACCACTTCATGAATTTCTGTCAAATCAAAGCTGACATCCTAGGCAATACAGCTGTTCAGTGGTTTTGTAGAGGTAACATATTACTGCAATATAGTGAACAAAGGGCCAAGATTGAAATATTTTAGAACAAAAAAAAACCCCATCCTAAACATTATTGTGAAATAGTGAATTACTGTGGAAATTAGCTTCTCCTGTAGACTTGATGTGTTTTTTAAAATTAACCTAAATTACAAGGCAAAGCAGCACTTACATGCAAAACTTAGGCTATGGTGAGTTCATCCCAACACCTAACGCTGTTTGAGTTAACACGTAATGTCAAGATGCTTTACCTACTTCCCTTGTTGTCAGAAGTGGAAAGAATTGAGATCTCCATTCCCACACTGATTTGCAGCAGACAGATGTTTTGAGCTCAAACTATAGTTCTAGCATTAATTTTGGGACTGGGTACAAGAGAAAAGGAAATGTCCATAGTTCAAAATCCATTTAACTGGGCATTTGAGAACTCCCGCCCAACCTTCAGTTGGAAGTGATTGATCTGCAGTGTCATGACATGCTTAACGCAGATATCAGGAGAAAAGTCTGATAGCATTGTGTAAGTGCCTTCCCCAGGAGCGGCATGTCCAGTTAAAATTACATGCTCCCTAACTGTTCTTAGTATACGTTGGTGCCTGTCTTTGTGAATAGACGTTTTCACAGATGAAACACATGAAATCTCATGACAGTGACAGCTCCGCATTTGCAGAGAAATATTTACAAAGACTTTGGTGATGGGAAACACCAGCTTTGAGCCCCAGTTGAGCAAACTGTTTTCCGGCCTTCTTCCCCACAGAAGAGTCACATTTTTCTCATTAGTAGACTGGTATTATACCCCAAAATTATACTCAGCTATTATTATTATTATATTTTGAACGTTGCCAATAAAAGTATGTAGGAATTTGTTTTCTCTTTTATTATGTAAGTACCTACATAATGCCCTTGATCTTGCCTGTTGGCCTGCCAAGCGCTGAGTCAGGAAGCTGCTTTGGCGGGAATGGAGGCCACTGTCCAGAGAGGAAAGCCCCTTTGATGTGGGAGCCTTTCATCTCTTTATCTGCTTGGTCTGCTTGGTGCCCCAGAAGTCCTGACGGACGCCTAGTGAGTGTTTATGGAAGGAATGCGCTATATTTCTGACTTTCTGTGTATGGCTATTAGATTCCAGTTTTAGTAGCAGACTTTTTGTTTTTAATGTGAAAAGTTGGTGTTTGCTGCTCTGCTCCAAGGACTTCCTTCTGAAGTAAGAAATGTGGGTTTCTTCTCCACCCTCCACTGTCATTTCTAGCCACATGTTTACGTTAATACAGTTTTATTACATTGAATTACTTTGCTCTGATCTTCATGATAGAGTTTGTTAAGCATTAGGCCTAGTAAATATAGTAAGTAAACAAACCATAGACTGGTGTTTGAAATACGTTGTTTCTCTAACTTTTAAAGATTTAAAATATGAAATTAGTTTTTTTATTTTAATGAGATTGCCCATGTTTATAACTTGAATGTATGGTAATAAGAATGTGGATTTTGTCAAGACTCTTCAAGATAACAAACTATGACATTGTCTGTACTCTTGCCAACCTAGAAGTAATCTCGATGAACATTTGGTGTATATTTCTCCTTTTTTTGCCATAGACATACCGTGAAGGAAAACTATTGTTTTTATGTACATTACACACAGTAGTACTACTTCCCTTCTGACATTAAACATGTGGGTTTTCCATGCAGAAAGCAATTCTGTGACCAGCAGGGTGTCCCGCAGTTTAACTCAATTCTGGAACTACCTGGAGAGAACATCAGGTCCCACAGGTGAAGGGTCTGGTCTCACCAGACTGCCCTCTGGCCCCCAGGCACAGGTCCAGGTTGTTACCTGTGCTTCTGACCTGCAGGCTGGGGATCGGAGAAGCCTTCTGAGGGTTCAGAGAATTAGTGAGCACCGCTCACAGAACTCAGGGGAAAGACAAGTGCAGGGCGCGGCTGCGGGAAGGGCGCACGGAGCCCCCGCAGCCTCCCTGAGAGGCCCCGCTCCCGCCGCCCCTCTGCTTGCAGGCTCACCGGGGGCTCTTCGAACCCCGACCTTCATCACACGGGCAGGTTTGATTAAATCCTGGGCCAGTGGAGATGGAAGAGATCCCAGCCCCTCTCTTCGGTGGGTCGGACAGAAAGTTTCACCTCTGTAATCTTGGCTGGTTCCCCTGGTAGCCAGCTCCCACCCTTGCGTTACGCAGGACTTTTCCAAAAGTTGCCTCAGAACACCAACTCTGGTGTGATTGAAAGGGGCTTGTTATCAGTAACAAAAGACACACCTTTATCTTGTCAGCTAGGAAATTCTAAGGGTTCTCAGGAGGTCTGGGCTCTGCCAGTATATTTTTTCTTATTATAAATTACAACATCAGACACGCACATAATAGTCCATATCTGAAATCATTTGCTTCTGTTGACGTGTACCTTAGAAAAGTCCATTCTGATACTGGTGCACTATCAGAAATGGGAAGAGAAACTTACGGTTAGAGAGAGTTTCTGTATTCTATATTACAGTGGTTTTCAAGTACTTATCCAAGTGCTGGTTACACTAAAGTTGTCAGTGGTGCCAGATGAAATAGGGAAAATGTAGTGATGATGAAAATCAACTTATTCAACAGAAAGGACTGTCTTATATTCTGAGTTTTAAAATCCACTTCGGAGGATTAAAATGTTCATTCTATGAAATGTTGGTAAAACAGTGGTCTGCTGTTGTAGGTGGTGATGAAGAGGCTCCTTTGCAAAATACAACAACAAAACAACAGTAATGCTAGGTTGTTTCCTGCCCCGTTTTTAGAAATTTATTCTATTCTTTATGAAATGTACAAGTTTTGTAATGACTGCTATTGGTAATCTTATGTATCTTCTGTTAATTAATATTAATGATATTTTACCCAGTGCTGTTTGACCTTGGGTTACGTTAAATATACTATTTTTTACTCTTTCTTATTTATTGAGTACATTTTATTGTTTCATTCCCAGTATCTGGTTATGGATTATTATGTTGGTGGGGATTTGCTAACTCTGCTCAGCAAATTTGAAGACAGATTGCCTGAAGATATGGCTCGATTTTACCTGGCGGAGATGGTGATAGCAATCGACTCAGTTCATCAGCTGCACTATGTACACAGGTGAGTGAGGTGTTCTTTTGTTGCCTCGTGTGACAGCCAGAAGCAGACGGCTACTTCTATCAGGTTTATTAATTATGGTCTTGGCTACACTAATCATCAACCAAAATACTTATTCTGAGATGGCTTTCATTGTTCTGCTTCGTTGTTGTTACCGACATTTGTCAGCATTAAAGAAGTGATGTTCCTGTGCATACACGCATGTGTAATATCTGTTTTTGCTGCCAGTCTGCATTTCTACAGGACACTTCTAAGAAGACACTCTGTGTAAATGTACATATAATTCTCTTCTCAAAAAAGTGTGTACTGGCCAGTTTCCTCATAGGTGAGTCACATGTTGCTACCGGCCAGGATTCCAGGCTGCAACTCACAGGTTTGTTTCCTAACCAAGACCCATCCATATTAGGTATGTTTCTCAAGAAAATACTTAAAAAAAAAAACTGTACATATGTCAAAATAGATGTTTGTGTAGGAAAGTGATCATTTTGACGTCTGTGGAAAAAATTATTTCTTTGTAAACTCTGACAAACATGATTCACTACATTTAAAAATTGCCTGCAGTGTGTGTTTTACTGTATGCAGTTTACGGTGGACTAAAAAGGTGGGCTTGTTTACAAAGTAATTTTTATACAGGATTGTTCTTATACCTGTTGCCACACAAAAAAAAAAAATGTTTGTAAACAGCCTGTATTGGGTGGATGAAAAGTCAGTTTCGCGTTTCAAGAGGAAAGAGAGCAGAACCCCCCGCCCCCCTCCCCCGGAGTTACTGGAGGGCTGGTTGCTCGCATGAATGAATGAATAACCTTCGGGTTGTGTGAAATGTGGGAGAGGGCGGGGGCTCGCTGAGGAGAAGCAGGCGAGGGGGTGCTGCCCGGTCAGAGGGGACGGGAACCGTTCTCTCAGCCAGTGGCTTGTGAACTCGAGCGTGCAGCGGAATCACGCGGAGGGCTTGAAAAACCCCGTTCGCTGGGCCCACCCCAGAGTGTCTGGTTCAGCAGGTTGGATGGGGCTCGGGAATGGGCATTCCTGACACCTCCCTGGGGGACGCTGCCGCTGGTCTCCTGACCACACTTTGAGGACTTCTGCTCGAAGGCGGCAGTGAGTGTTTCTTTGTGAGTTGTGTGTGACAAGAGTGATTTCTGGGAGGAACAGGAGTGCAGGAAGAAGAGACGGTTCTGTTCCAGTGCTTGTTTCTTTAAGACGTGTGACCGTAGCCCGGAGTATTCCGAACCGAGGAAGTGTACAGGGACCTTCGGGGTCCAGAGTTTGGGTGGTGGCAGGGGCGGGGGTCTCAGCACACTGCCTGCACGACCACCCATTAGCCTCCAGCCCTTCCCAGAGGTCGGGATGACGACACATTTAGTTTCTGGTCCCTTTCGGAAGTAAAACTGACACCACATGTCCCATGTAAGTTACCTCCTTCGTAAGTCACGGAGTTAGACTGCTGGTGGCCAGGGCCCCCAAACAAGACTCTCCTGTTAGGTGTGGTAGTCCAGGAACCCAGGGGTCACCTCCCAGTAGCTGGGGCAGAGGCAGACCCCCTCTTCGGGTAGCTTAGTTCCTCACGGTCCAGGCACCCAGCGGCCTTCGTCAGGGCTCTCGCACGGCGGTCGTCCGCCTGTCTGGACAGTCCACAGCCGATACAGCATTATGTGACCGCCCGGCGGTGACAGTGTGAGGGGCCTGTCGCTTGGAGGAGGCAGTTTGAAGTACTCGTTTCAAGAGTTGTGTTAACCTTCTGGAATATGAAATTGGATTTATCGGAGAAAAGTGAATGAGTAGACGTGTTTGAACCAGGTTGATTGCAGTGAAATCAGGAGTGCCTAGATAACATGACAGCACGTAAATGCATTTTAAAGTGATTTCATACTGATGTGGTCGTGTACCATACCATTGAGAATTATTTGAAGAAACTTCAGAAGAATCTGGTTTTGTTATGTACACATTTTCTATTCCAGGCATAATATTTATAATAATCACACTCTGATATTGATAGACTTGTGAAGTAAGTAATAAAGTAAAAATGACCCACAAAATATTGCCCTTTCAATATGGTCATTGTTTGGAGTGCTTTTTTATTCTTAATGTTATAAATATATCATTATGGAGATTAATTTTGACTGAAGGTTTTAAAATAATACTATTCCTTTTAAGTCAAATGTAATTTGCTTTTGCTTGGAGACATAGAAAATTACTGATTTTAGAAACCTGAATAATAACTAGTGTGATTTATATTCACGTTAGGAAGAAACTTGAATAAGGTTTTTACATTGATAATGTAGAGATTTTACCTCTTCTAAACATTTCTCTTTCTCTGTTTTCATTGATTGTGAAGGTTAAATTAAGGTTTTGCCTGAATTTCCCATCCTCTCCCTTTATTGATGGTACTTGGTATCTGGTTGGGTGGCTGTCTCTTCATTTGCAAGATGGCACTGACTCAGAGTGGGTCTGAATGCCAGCTGGTATTTTGCCTCTTGTATCAGAAAATGGAGTTTTGCCGGCCTTTCGTTCTGTTTACCCCTTGCCATGTGAGATGTGTTTCCCCGAAGTGGCACAGAGGCAGGCTGTGTGACGCGGGGTGCTTTAGGCACTTGCGCCTGCGGGGGAGCTGGCAGAAGCGGGATCAGGCGGAGGAGCAGGCAGGTTACGCTGCAGGCCAACCTCAGCCAGCCCCACTCGGAGCCCTGGAGAGCTTGTGGCCCATCGGGGCTGTTGCCCATTTAGTCCAAGTGGCCGAGTCTTTATTTTTCTGTACTGGGCAGTGGGTGGGGGCTGCCCAAGGAAGACAGGACCTTTGGTGAAGAGGCTGTCTGCAGTTTTGAATAAGCTGACCGTTGGGGGCTGCCTGCCGAGGTCGGGGGCAGAGCCCTCAATTGAAGCAGAAGGCAGCACACTTATGTGTCCACCATAGACCCCCAAATACAGTGACTGAAGCAAAACAACAGAACTGCCCACGAGTGTGCAGCTGTGCAGGACTAGGCGGGGACTGCTGTTTCGCCTGAGGGTGACAAGAATCATCCGAAGCTGGAAGGTTGGCTCTCGAGACGGCTCAGTCACGGGGTCGGAGGAGGGTAGAGGAGGGATCAGCAGAGATGGAAGGAGACTTGACCTGGGGCGGTGAGCACACAGTACAGTGTGCAGGTGATGTGCTGTGGAACTCTGCACGTGAAACCTGCGTAATGTTATTAACCAGTGTCACCCTGATACATTTAATGAAAAGGGAAAAAGATGGCTCACATAGTGTGGCTCATCAGCTTGGAGTTGAGCCAGGGCTGTAGGCTGGGGGCCTTTGTTCTTCTCCCCTGGCCTCTCCAGGGCTGCTTGAGTTTCTTAACAAGCAGTTGACCAGCTTCCAAGTGCAAGTGTATGTCAGTATGGAAGTGTAACCATCTTTCTGCCTAGTTTACACTTGGGACGTCTGTGCATCTTGTGCTCCAGTGAGAACGTTCTCATGAAGCCGTGAGGACCATTCTTTACTCAAGGTGGCTGTTGGTCAGCAGATGCACCCACACCTCCCCGGCATTCGTGGGGACTTGCATCCGCGACCTCCGTTTCACTTTGCCCGCGTGTCAGAAACCTGGAGTGCAAGGAGAACCAGGGCTCGCTCTGCACACGGTTGCCCCCCCGCCCCCCCCCCAGTTCAAGTCGTACTTTGTGTCCTTTCTCCCAGACGTTTTTCATTTGGCCTTTGTGACATTAGATTTGGATGAAAACGGTAGATAATCTGGAAGGAAAAGGGCAATTGCAAAAGGTCAAGCTGCAGCCTTTGGATGAAAAAGAAGGAAGGGACATGTTTTCCTTGTTTGAAGTGACAAACTGTATGGACTTACATAAATTTTAGGCCTCCCTTGTGCCCAGTAATTTAGGTCGCATTTAGCATCAGCTGGATGGACTAGTCATTTCCTCCTTCCTGTGAGTCCCTCAAGTGTTACCTCGGATCCGTGTCATACTTCGTTCCCCAAACAAAGCAAAGCATAACTGTGTCACACCCGGCAGATGACGGGGCGCTGATTCATGTCCTCCTGAGGTCTTACTCAGACGAGCAGGGGTGTTTGCATCTGCTCGTAGAGGGACACTTTGGGGACAGAGACTTCTTTTTCAGCCAGGGAGTAGACTGGCTGAGTTGCGGAGTGAGTCAGCAGGCAACAGGCTATGTATATGAAAGGTATCATCGTATTTCCTGTTGCAGAAGCAGAGGCCAATTAGTGTTATCATTATAACATTATTGAGTTTGTCTGTGATCTCGATAACCATTAATTAACTGTTTTGACTGAAAATATTGTTGACTGCAGATGATCCTAGTGGCTTAGTCAAAATATTTTCATATTCTTGGATTAAATGACTCAGATGTTATACAACTGTATTTTTGGTTTTTAATTAATTTTAATCAAACAATACTGTATGTGAGTAAAATAAAACTCAGCCAGCATAAAAAGATTACATTGGAAAATAGTCCCCTCTCCAGACCTCTTACGCCTGCCTCCCAGTGGCAGACACATTTAACTCCTTTAAGCTCTTTCTTTGTTATTTTACCCCATCTCTCTAATATCTCGATATCTCATGCCAGTATTGTCTCAGTATTAATTTTAGACATATAATATTTTCATTTTGGAATTGGTTATTTTTCATCAAGAAGAGTAGTTGAATGTAGTAAACACGTTTTCAGTGAAACGGGACTAGGGAGATGCTTCCTTAACGGGACGTGTGTGTGTGAGAAGTCAGCCTCAGCCTCGCGCCTCAGCAGTCAGCGTCGTGTTCGCCGGGTGATACTGCTAAAGTCAGGACACGACAGAGATGTCCACTGTCACCAATGCTGTTTACACTGTACCGAAGCTGCTGGCCAAGCAACTGGGCAAAAGAGAAAACCTGGAAGTGTAAAAAGAGTAAAATCATCACATTTGTAAGTGTTATACATAGAAAATCAAAGAGAACTAACCTATAAACTACAAATGGCAAGAAAGTTCAAAAAGGATGTCCATGGCGTTTGTGGTCTAATTCATGGAGTACGTATTTATTGCATGTTCTGTGGGTCAGGCTCTTTTCCAGGTGCTGAGAATCTAGTAGTGAACAAAATGGCAAAAATTTCTGTTTTTGTGAAGTAGTTTCTAATTCTAGCAACAATCAGTAATTATAAAAAGATATAGAAGATGTTCTGTAATATCTTACAAATATGGAATACTTAGATATATTCATTAAGAAATACATAGCATTAATGTAACTATACAGTGAGGAAGACTCCCTATAAGATATTAAAATATGTCTTTAATAATAAAAAATATATTTCTACTGTGTAAAAAGGTAGGCTAATTGAACAGAATTGAAAGTCTTGTTATAGACCTAGATACTTATCTGCATTAACATGTGGTGAGGGTCGCATCTCAGATCAGAGGTGAAATGGTGTGTGGGAAAAATGAAATTAGATCATACCCGTCATGGTATCCCAGGAAGAATTCCAAATGGATCAAACACCAAAGTGTAAAAAAAAATTAAACTTACAGTGGAATGACACATTGGAGAATTCCTTTGCAGTTTCAGTGAGGATAAATGAAGCATTTCTAATGAAGTCAAAATCTAGAAAAGCGTGGAAGAAAATTTCGATAAATTCAGTACACAAAAGAGTGCACGAGAGGAAAAGTCTGAAGAAACTCAGAGGAGAAATGTGCACTGGGGAGAAAAGATCGGCAACTCCTGCAGTAGGCAGAGGGGCAGTCTTCCCAATGCGCAGAGTGATCCTGACACTGGGAGAAAGAGCACAGCTGGGGGGAACGGGGTGGGGGGGTGTTTCACAAAGACAAAAGATACTATGTATGTGAAAAGGTGGGCTCTCTGAGGACACAGAAAATGCAAATAATAACGTCAGTATTGCTTTTCCTGTGTGAGGTTGACAGAAAGTACAAGTATGTGACAGTAGTCTTACTGGAGCCTGAAGCTACAAGGGGACTGAGCGCTCGCACCTGAGGCTCAGGGGAATGTGAATCAATCAGTTCAGCTGCGACAAAAGGCCATGTCATACCTCTGTCGAGACTTCAAATGCATGTGTTCCACACCTAGAATTCTAACCTAAGACATCATCACATATGTGAAAATGACATGCACCGAGTTGTTCCCGTCAATCTTATTTATAAAAGGAAAAGATTGGGGAAAATTCAAATGTTCATCAACAGCTGATTAGTTAAATTATGTCACAATCATAAAATAGAATACTGAGAAGAATGGCGAGGCTTTTTCTGTTTTGATATGACTCCAAGATTTATTGTAAGTGAAGAAAGAGATGAGGAGATCGATGTGCACATCATAACATTTGTATGAGAATTAATATACTTGTATTTGCTTGCGTACACATGAAGGAAACTCTGAAAGGATAAGGCAGAAACTAATCAATCGCTACTTCAGGCAGTGCAGAGGCTGGATGAATGGGAAACAGGTATGAGAGGGAAATATTTCGGACACATGCTTTTTTATATTTTTTACTTTCAACAAAATGTTTTACCAATCCAAAAGAACTAAATAAATGGAATTAAATAAAAACAAAACTAGAAAGTAGTACATATATTTTGAAACTTTGAATTGCATTCTTTGTAAGCATGGCAAAGAGAAAAATCACAATGGAAATTACAAAATATTTGAAACAGAAAGTTAAAGTCCTACATAACAGAATTTGAGGATTTATAGTCACTTTCTTCTCTGTAATTCAGGTTTACGTTGCTGTTCTTTTCTTGAATCCTGAGTTAGAAAAGGCTTAACTCATTTAAAAAATTTTTTTTACATATTTCTGTTTAAGATTAGAGAGTTTCAACATTAGAAAATTTATTTAATATACCTGATACTTTTAGCAATTTGAGAGGTTCTACTGAAAGTCTAAAGCAGAGATTATTCTTAATGGTGAAACGTTGGGAACATTTCTGTTACAAGTGGAAGCAAAGTGAGAACGATTCTTTAAAGAAAATCTTGATCACATTGGCAACAAAGCTGTAAAGCACCTAAGACTGCAGATAATACAGCATGTGGAAGCTCTCTGTGGAAAAGGTCAATGTTCTTGAAGGACATAAAAGAAGATCCATAAGTATAATGTATACAGGGATGGGAAGAGTCATCTTATAGAGATCTCAGTTCTTGTCACATTAGTCTACAAAAATCATTGTGATTCCCCTCAGAACCCCAGTGCGTGTCATGAAACACACTGGGCTAACCCTAACACCTGTCGGAAGAGCCATGGCCATTTACACACATGGTCTTCTGGCCCGGAGGAGACGCCAGCTCTCACAGTGGAGCCAGCGCTCTTGGTCCAGGTGCAAGCACAGAGAGAGAGGGTGACCGTCCTCCTCTGGTTGTGGGGGGCAGTTCCAGTTTATGCCTGCTGTCCTGGGAATTATTAATGGGCTCTCTTTCATTCTGAAAACCGCTCAGTAGAATTGCACAGGAAGTCCTGAGACAAACCCACTTCATTGATGACGCGTGTGGTATTGTAAGTCAGGGAGAAAGGATGCCATTCATTAAATGGCATCAGCACAGAAGGGAGTATCATTGGCCTTTATCTCACACTATACACAAAATTAATCCCACGTACATTGAAGACTGGAAGTGAAAAGGAAAATTTTAAAACTTAGAAAATAAAATACAGGACACTGTCCTTATGGCTGCTGGAAGCAGAACGCAAGGGAGGTTTCTGAAGACAGAGAGCACAAGTTGTGAGAGCAGAGCGGGGGCTGACAGGCGCGTGAGGGGTGGGGGACAGGGTGGTGGAAGGGGACGGACTTGGAGTTGTGAGATGAATGAGTGCGAGGAGCTGATGTACAACAGGGAGTCTGTAGTTGGCAGTGTGTCTTGTGTCACTGAAATTCGCTAAGAGGGAAGAACTTGTGTTCTCAAAAAAACAGAAAAATATGTGAGTTGACGGAGTATTAATTCTTTCATTGTGTATACGTAAATTAAATCATGTACACTTTAAATATATCAGTTAGTCAATAAAGCTGAAAAAAGTGGGAAAAGGATAACAAAATATAAATTATAAGACTACATAACCAATGAAGACTACATTAGTATTAAATAGTTTTTTATGAATGAGAAAGACAGTATAAACAATGAGAAAAACAAGTCCAAGTGCAAGACGAGATTTGTAACAAACAGAATTCTGGGTTAACCAAAATCAAAAAACGTACAATACATACAGATTGTGAAAAAAATGGGAAGATATTAACTGTCTTTTTACAGAACAGGAATCTGAGATGAACACTAATAATATAAAGAAGATTCTCAGGCTCACTAGTGATCCTGCCAGCGAGGTGGGAACGCACATCTCCCTGTGGGGGCGGGAGAAACGTTCACTTGTGGGCACCGGGAGACACTTGACAAATGCTCATCTCGGCATTCTGTATAGGTGCAACATAACAATCTAAACTTGTTTGGAAGCAATCTAAATTCCATGAGCCAGGAAACTGAGAAATAAATTTGATGTATGAAAGTATTCCATATAGAAATTAAAATGAATGAACTAGAGTAAATGTATCAACATGGATAAATTTTAGACATAATATTAGAGTAAAATCAAGTTGCAAAACACTTCACGTGGTTTGGTATCAGTTATAAAGTTTAAGGACATTCAGAAAAATACGTAGTCTTGTGGTTGCATCTATACATGCTAATAATAAAATATATGCATGGAGAGTGGTCTGGGTTTGGCCCCATGGGTCATAATTTGCCAACCCATGAGGTATGACACACAGAAATTACTGCAGTAATTAAGGGAGTACTATTATTATCCCCATATTACAGGTGGGAAAATTGAGGTTTAGAGACCTTAAGTGGCATCATTCAGGTTAAAGTAAAATAACCTTTCCATACTCTTATTAACCACATGTTGATAGACTTTTTTTTTAACATATGAAGTGCTTATAGAGGATTTTTTTTCTTCTTCTAAAAGTAGAATGAAGTGTGAGGGCCTAATCTCACAGTTTTTCACAACTGTAGTCTTTAGAGTATGTTTAGAAATTCTGCATTGCTGAGTCTTCTTTACAAGATGATTTTATGTATGATTTTTCTCAAGGTTTGCAACACGTTTCATTGTTCCAGTGGAGAAACACATACAAAAACTGGTATGGTTTAGTGTGTATTAGTTAGATTTGGATATCTTACAAGACATTGACTTAACATCAATAGATAGCTTTATATAACACAGAACATTACTAAGCTTTATATAACACAGAACATTATTAAGCAGTTGTTTTCCAAAATCAGCTTTATAAAGCAGTGTCTTTGTTTTGTCATGACTTGCAGTAATTGAGGATTTATGTATCTACATTGACAGAGTCTAGGAAGTATATTTTTCCCTGTTCAATTTCATGGGCTAGATACAGATTAGTGTGCTTTGTAGGTATCAAGTAGCTGGCTCTTCTCTGTGTGCAGAAAGCAGGGACTACCAGGACTGTGGTAGGTGTTGGAGTGTGTGCAGATTCAAAGGTGGGATGGTAAGGTTATTTATTTGACTTTTTATCCAAGAGGAGATTGAAATGACCTGCATTTTAGAAAGTTTTAATATGAACCGGAGTCAGGATTTAAATCAATAAGGTTGTCAAATAGAGATTCCTATAGTATTAATTTTAAAGGAAGTTAAGATTTTTAGGTAGAGGTTATCTTACCAAGTATCTGATTATGTCTGTCCTTTTAAACTAAAAATGGAATGTATTTTTTTCAGAGACATCAAACCTGACAATATATTGATGGATATGAATGGACATATTCGGTTAGCAGATTTTGGATCTTGTCTGAAACTGATGGAAGATGGAACCGTAAGTAAAGATAAATTTTAAATTATTTTACCAACAGCCTTTTTCTTTTGGCTACTTCTTTATCTGTCTAGAAACCATTTATTTATATTATCCATCCATCCATCAATCATTTTGTGCTTCACCTTCTTCCACAAAGGCATTTAGGTACACTTATTTTAACACGTCTTGTCTACAAGTCATGCCATTTCAACTGCTCATGTTAAAGATCTGAGAGTGGTACAGTATGCCTTTTATGAGACCTTTCTTCATTGTTTGGCTGAACTGTTTGTTGTACTTGAGATATTTTTTTCATTTCCAGATGGATAAAGAAAATAAATCTACATAGAAAAAGAAAATGTGACTTCTTTGCTTTCATTTTTTGTTTTTTATATATTTTACCCTAGTTGTCTGATTTTCCTGAGGGACTGTGTTCATAAAATGAATGCTTTTTATCAGGAAGTCATCTACGTTGATTTAGTTTCATGTTACCATTTGCTTTAGTTGTTCTAACTCTAGGCCTCTCGGTTGTTTCCTTTCGCTTACTTAAAAGTTTATATGCCCCATTTTTATTCTCTAGTTTGTTTTGGTTTTTGTTTTTACTTCAGTTTCTTGGCTGTATAGCAGAAGTCCAAATACATGTCATTTTAATTGGCAGAAATGTTTTTAGAGATTAGTAAAATACATTCTAAAGACAACAAAAATGTCATGTTATCCTGGACTAGTAATTTGACTTTGGAAAATTTATCCTAAGGAGGTAACTTTTTAAAAGATCATATGACTTCTGTCTCTGGCCATGATGCAGGGAGTAATTGTTACCAAATTGTCCTCTTACTGTACACAGCAATGAAAGGGACACAGTATTTGAGATGACTGTTTCAGGCAGTGGACAGCAGGCAGCACAAGACTGTTATTTCTGAGAGACTTTGTGATGTATGCCAAACAAGGTCCCAGAATTGGGACAGTGGGCTGTTTCTGATGCGGAGAGCTAGAGTTAGAGCGGAGCAGAGTAGTTCTGCAGAGCTCAGGAGGAGGAGGTCCGAGTTGAGTTGCTGAGGCACCTGGAACTTGCGGGGCTTGATGTGGGAGGGGAGGGAGTGGTGTAACCCTGTTTAGTAGCCTAATTCCAAGTCTTAAGATCCATAGAGTTTGAAAGTGGTTCTCCAGTAAAGGGACTTGAATCATAGACTTACTGTGAATCTGTGCTTGAAGAGTATAGCCATAATCCAACCCATGTGCAAGGAGATAAGTAATTTTATTTATTTGCTTGAGCAAGAATTAATATTCCAGAGGAAGATAACAGAATTCATACTTTCTACAAAGTCTTACTGACAATGACGAGCATTTAATCAGAGATCACTAGACCAAACAAAAATGGAGGATAGAGTATGGATTGTGATAGAGTTAAAAAACAAAAGTTGTCAGTAGAAACTGAGGTAGCACAGATGTTGGAGTTAGCAGACAGACTTAATGAAACTATCATAAATATGCTTTAAAAATCAAAGGAAAATACAGTCTTAAAGATTACACAGATAAGGAATTTCAGCAGAAAAATCAAATGGACCTTTTAGAACTTGAATAGTACACTGATAGAAATAAAGAATTCACAAGAGGAGGTTAGCTGAATTAGAGATGAGAGAAGAAAGAGCCGGTGAATTCAGAGACAGGTCAATAAAGATTATCCGTTCTGAAGAATGGAGAAGATTGAGGCAAAATAAAACCAGGCTCAGGGACCCCTGTGCCTGGAACCCTGGGAAAAATGACTCAGTGTGGCCGAGAGGAAGGCATCGCTCAGCCCCGTGAGCGATTGGGAGTGAGGTGGGAGCAGAGGACATGTGCACAGTTGGTGGCTCACACTCGCCGAGTGTGATGAAGAACACACATCCAAGGATTTGGCATATTCCAAGCTTGTAAAAGGAAGCACACCTAGGCACATCACAATTAAATTGCTGAAAATTAAATATTAAAAAAAAATTGAAAGCAGCCAGAAGAAAAAACACATTACATACCCCAGAAAAATGGTTAAGAATGACCAGTGACCTCTCATCCGAAGTCATGGAATGATATCTTTAAAGTGCTGAAGAAAAATCTGTAAACCAAGACTTCTGTATCAAGCAAAAATACTCGTCAAAAGTTAAGGTTCATTAAAGACACTTGGTGATAAACGAAAGATGAGGGATTAACCTCCAGAAGGCTTGGATGCTAGAAAATGTCTTTCAGGCCAAAGGAAATGATGCCCTTTGGGGTCTTAGATCTGTAGGGTAAAGAATATTACATAGGGTAAGTGGATGAAGAAAAAAAGACTGTATTACCTTTCTTCTTAAATTTACATAAAAAGCAACTGCTAAAAGCAAAAATAACAACATTGTAATGGTTCATGACATGGAGAAGTAAAAGATAAGACAGCAGCCCCACAAACAGTGCCCGATGGGTACGTGGAATTGCCCTGCTGCCAGATGACCCCTCTTGTGTGGGACGTGGATCGGGCCAGAGGAGGGAGGTACATGCTCTTTATTGGGTTAGCGGATTTTCTATTTCTGATTCCTGAGGGCCTGTTGTTAGGGTTGTTACTGTTGTAATCAAATGATTTCCCTGCATCTACTGGTAAGTGACAGATTGTCCAAGTTAAATCACTCCTGCTTTGGATCAGCATAACTTTATCTTGGCGTGTTGATATATGTGAACACATTGCTAGATTGACTCTGCTAAAATTTTATATTAGATTGTTATCTGAGATTAATCATATTTGATACTGCAGTATAATCTTCTTCTAAAATTGTTCCTCAGTGATTTTTATTTTTAGGTTATTTTCGCTTTCTAAAATGTGCAGGGGAGCCGTATCTCCTCCCTGTCCCTACTTTTGGCTCTAGAACAGTTTATATAACAACAGAGGTTTCTGTTTCTTACATTATTGGCACAACTCACTTTTAAGTCACCTTTCCTTGGTGAGGTTTTGTTTTCTCTTGTTTTATTTTGTTTGTTTTCCAGGTAGATTTATACTGTTCATTCAGATTTTTTAATGTTAGATTTAAGTAATGTTAGATTTGTTCTTGGGTACATTGTGGACTTTTTTGCATGTGTTGGGGGGAGCTATTATAAATTAACTTTTTAAAATTTGCAGTTTGATAGCCTGTTGCTGTTTTTAATGGTTATAGGTCTCTTAGGTTTTCTGTTTCTTCCTGAGTCAGTTTGGGGAAGCCGTATTTTCTTCTGTGAACATTGCCTGTTGTCGATGAGTTGTCAGTTTTGTTGGTCAGAAGTTGTTCAGGTTATGCTCCTAGTTTAAAATCTGTCACATGTATAGTTTTGTCCTCTTTTCACTCCTAATGTTGTTTGTGCTTTTCTTTTCCTTCATAATTTTGATACAGGGCATTTTACTATTTTTGAGTTCTAAGTAGTTTCCAAATTTAGTTAGAACCCTGCTGTGGACCATTAATTATTTAGCTGCATGACTTTTAATTTCCAAAATATTGTATTTGCTTATTTGGTTATTTCTAGTTTTATTTTAATGGGGAATGGGTCTATTTGAGACCAGTGTTCTGGCATTTATCAAGATTTGCTCTTTAATTTTGTAACAGCCTAGTTTTTATAAGTATTACATATTTGTTGAAAAGAATACATTTTTCTAACTTTTGGGTGCAGGTTTCTGTATATGTCTATAAGATTAAAGTTGTTAACTTGTTCAAATTTTTAATATTCTTATGAGTTTTATTTTTTCTGATGTATATTTTATTTTAAAATCCTTACTATAATATTAAATTATTAATTTTACCTATAATCATCAATATTTTTATAACTCTTGTAGCTGTGTTACATATTATTCAGAATTGCTATTCTGGGGTGTGTTTTTATATGATTAACAATTTTTTAAAACCTTAATAATGATTAGCCCTTAGAATCTCTTTGACAGATATTAATATAGCTTCCTTAACCTGACTTCGTTTAACATCTGCTGGTATATCGTTTCTGTCCCTTTTCTTTTAACATTTCAGTGTCCTCATGTTTGGGTGCATCCTTTACTGCTGACAGTTGTAAAATACGTTCACTTTGGTTTTATGGGTCATGCAGTGGGACAGTGCTGCCTTTTAATAGGTTTATTTAGTCCACTTATGAACTTCATGTTGTTGATGTGTTCGGACATATTCTAGTATTCTGTCTTGTGCTGTTTGTTGCAGGTTTTGCTTGACGTTTATATGCTTGTTTTTCTTTTTTCCTTCTTTTCTGCCTTCTGTTGGCTTGGTCAAGTTTAGTTTTACTTTTTTTGTTGTTGTTACTCCTTTGGAAATGATGCATTCTATGTCAAATATTTCAATGTTTATCTTAATTTTTTTCACATTTATAGTTTACCTGAAATCTAGAGTTGATCAGTTTTTCTACCATATTCCTAATCAAAACAAGAATCTTAGTGTATTTTACACCATACACAAAAATTCACTCACAATGGATCAAAGATCTAAATGTAAGAGCTGAAACTATAAAACTCTTGAAAGAAAACACAGGGGGAAGCTTTTGACGTTGGATTTGGCCATGACACCACACAACAGGTGGCAAAAGAAACAGTAAGTGAACTGGGCAGCATCACCATGAAAACTTCTGTGCATCCAGGTCACAGTCCTCTTAGGGAGAAGGTGACCTGCGGGGTGGGAAAAAATAGCTGCACATCATATGTCTGGTAAGAGTGTTATATCCAGAATATGTAAATAATTCCTCAGCTCAATAATAAATAAATCAAAGTGAGCCAAGGATTTGAATAGATGTTTCTCCTAAGAAGGTATACAGATGACCAACAAGCACATGAAAAGATGTTCAGCATCACTGATCATCACGGAAATGCAAATCAAAACCACCATGAGATCCTACCTCACACCCATTAGGATGGCCACTCTAAAGAAGAAGAAAAAGGAACAAGTGTTGAGAAAGATGTAGACAAATTGGCACCCTTGTTCACTGTTGATGGGAATGTAAAATTCTGTAGCCTCTTTGGAAGCATTACAGCACTTCTTAAAAAAATTAAAAATAGAATGACCACATGATCCAAGAATTTCACATCTGAGTGTGTACACCACAAAACTGAAAGCAAGGACTTGGAAGGATGTTTGGACACCCGTGTTCAGTAGCAGCATGATTTACGGTAGCCAGGGGACATAAGCAAGTCAGGTGCCCATTAACAGATAAATGGGTAAATAAAATGTATGTGCATACATTGGGTATTACTCAGCCTTAAAAGGAAGGAAATTCTTAGATGCTACATCATGGATAAACCTTAAAAACATTATGCTGAGGGGAATAAACCAGACATAAAAGGACAAATACTGTATGATTTCCTTATATGAGCTCCCTGGAGAGGTCACATTCAGTGAAAGTGCAGTGGTGGCTGCCAGGGCCCCGGAGGAGGGGATAAGGGAGTTGTTGTTTAGTGGCGACAGTCTCAGTTCTGCAAGATGAAGAGAGGTCCAGAGATGGATGTGGTGAGAGTCACACAACAGTGTAAATAAATGTACTTGACGTCCCTGAACTTGACACTGAGACTTGGTTATGGTGGTAAAATTTGTTATGAGTATTTTACCACCATTAAAAATAATTAAGTAAATGAGATAAATATTTAAAAAAAAAGAAACTTAGACCACTTTAACCCTAATGCTCCCTTAGTAATATGTTGCTGTATCTAGTGTTTTGGTTTCACCTTCCTTTCCAGTGTTCAGCTAGTTCCTCCTCCTCTGCCACCTCCTTTTCCTTCTGTCCCTCCTCCTCTTCCTACTGCTCATCATCCTCTTCCCTCTCTTCTTTGTCGTTACTGATGTCTTTGTTTACAGTTGCATGTAGTATGGATTACATTTCTTACTTTATGAACTGTGTTCTTTAGTGCTTCTGTTGACCTGAAGGGACTACGTGCAGTAGTTCACTCAGTCCTTGTGGGCGAATGTCTTTACTTAGCCCTCCTACCTGTATCGTAATTAGGCAGGTAGGGAATATAACTTTGGTAATTATTTTGTCTGGTTACTTTGAAGAAATAATTCCATTTTCTTCTGACTGCTGTTGGCATTAATAATTGCGCTGTCAGTCTCATGGCTTTCTTGCTTGGTAATCTCTTTAACATTCTTAATCTCTTTGCTTTTGGTACTCTGTAGTTTTTAACTACAATGTGCATAGAAGTGTATCTGGTTTTATTGATCTTTTCATATTTTTTATGTATTACGTGTTTTATTTCAGTGACTAGGTTTTTTTTTTAAACTTCTGGGACTTCTATTTGATTTGATTTTTTCATCTCTTTGTTCTTATGCCTTTAATTTTTTTAAATGTCTAATAAATGTAAACATTTCATGAATTGGAACTGTTCATTGTTCGGAGTCTAATTGCACTGTTTGTTTGGACTTCTGGCTTTTGCTCATGATGGAATGTTTCCTCGTGTAGTTGATACTAGGGGACTGTGCGCTCACCTTTGATGGGCTGCATGTGTGGGAGTTCCATGTGGCCAGGTGTGAGCATGTGTGCCCAGAGCAGCTTTGAACTTGATGCCAGGCTTTCTGGGGCACCTAACCGGGGCCAATATTTTTGCCAGTTTCTTGGCTTGAGAACTTCTGGGCCACAGAAGTTCTGTGAATTAAAACCCCAGATGGTGGGACTGCGTGACCTAAAGTTAGGGATTTGTGGAGGAGGGAGTTTTCTTTACATGTCAGCTGCAGATTAGGGTGGACAAAGTGTCTGATCTTTCTCTGCTGAGTAGCAGCGCCTGGAAATCCAGCTTTTTATTTACAGAATACCGTCTAGGGTAACTGTTAGGGTAAACGTTATATGGGGCAACCTCTCACTTCAAACCTCACATGAGCTCAGGGCCTTTCCTTCTCCTCATGTTAAAATCCAAGAACCTAGAAGATGAAAAGTAGCAATTCCCTAACCCCACTCCCACTGCGATGCTCACCGCCCCTGGGTCTCAGTCATCTCCTCATCCCTGGCCCCGAAGAGTTGTTATTTTTTAGAAAGTTTATACTTTTATAAAAAATGATTGTTTTATTTTTATCTAGTATTTTTAACAGTTTGGAAGGGATGAGTTTTCAAGTTACTTAATCTAAGTATTGCCAGAAAGGAAGTCTGTTCTAATGATTATTAAGAATGGTAATTTAGTTTGGAAAATTCAGAATATTAACCATTATTCTACCCTGAGAATGTCCATTTTATGATGTGTTCTTTTAAAACCATGTAAAGAACCAGTTTTCTTTTGCTTTAGAGTGTATTACAGAATTTGTTCCCAGGAACTGTTTTAGCTGTCATTTCCTAATTTATAGCTAAGTTGCCATAATTGTATGCCCCAATTTTTGTCTGTTGGTCCTTTATTTTTTAAAGGATATATTTTTCCTTTTTAATAATTTTTTAAATTCATAGTTTGCAGGACATTGTTATCATTTATTTCCTTAGGCTTCCATTAAGGTATTTAAAAATAATCTCCAGGTGGCTCAGAAGTATTAGCCACATTTTTTCAGAGTTTCACCCCCATAACTAATTGTAAATTTTCACAGTTCCACTTTTTTGTGTGTAAGATGATCAGTAACAGTGTTGTAACAATACCTGATGGAAGAAAGGCAGATAGATACAGGTATATATTAATCAGTTGTGAATTATTTTCAATGCAAAAAATAGCAGCTTAGAAAAAAGAATGTTCAAAACTTAATACTCAATTTTATGGTTGTGGTGTTTAAATCATATTGCTACCCTAAATGTGTCATGAAGTAACAGCTATAATGAAGGTCCTATTATGTTATGAAACCTGGAGAACTATTAGTGTGGAAGTTATGTAAAATTTAATTTATAAGCCCTGGCTGGCATAGCTCAGTGGATTGAGCGAACCAAAGCGTTGCAGGTTCGATTCCCAGCTAGGGTACATGCCTGGGTTGCAGGCCATAACCCCCAGCAACCGCACATTGATGTTTCTCTCTCTCTCTCTCTATCTCCCTCCCTTCCCACTCTAAAAATAAATAAATAAAATCTTTTTTAAAAATAAATAAAATTTAATTTATATGTTCAAGGAGGCTAAATTCAGATAATGACAAAGTTGTTATGCGATACTGTTTATTGTATAAGTAAATGTAAATACTTTTAACTTAAAATTATTTGCTTCTAGTATTCTCAGTAGATTACTAAAAACATGAACTTCTTCAGGTCCAGTCCTCAGTGGCGGTTGGAACTCCAGATTATATCTCTCCGGAAATCCTCCAAGCCATGGAAGACGGAAAAGGCAGATACGGCCCCGAATGTGACTGGTGGTCTCTGGGGGTCTGTATGTATGAAATGCTGTATGGAGAGACACCGTTTTATGCAGAATCTCTGGTGGAGACGTACGGGAAAATCATGAATCACAAAGTTAGTGTGCTTCTCTGTTTTTCACAATGGTGGGGTAAATAATACGTGTAATAACTTTAACGTGATTTTAAAAAGAACATATTTTTTTGAAAATGGTGAATAATCTAATTTCTACCCTAATAGGGGACATGACAGACCTGAATAATCAAAAGTCGATCATTATACATAAAATTGCTAGTTTTAACCTTCTATATTTTATTAGAGAAGGTATTAAGTAGGAAATGAAATGGCTTCTACTAGAATAACAAAGAGCATAGGCAGGTGGTTTTCAGTCATCACTGCTACACTATAACCATGACCAAGTGCATTTAAAAATCCTCAGGCTCAGCAGTAACAAATGAAATGCAAATTAAAATAAGAATGAGATACTTTTCCCCTGTCAAATTGATAAAGATGAAAAGAATAGTAGTACTCCATGCTGTAAATAATCCAGTGCAATGGATATTATTGATAAGAATATAAATTGATGTAACCTTCCCATCAAAAAGTTTCTAAGTATGCATCTAGAGTCTTTAAAAAATGGTTGGAGCTTTTGATTGAGCAACTTTGGCTGTAGGAATCTACCCTAAGGAAATCTTCAGTAGAACAAAGACGTATGTACCAGAATACCTCTTCCAGCATTATGATCACCAAGTACTGAGAACCATGCAGATGCACAACAGGAATGAATTAATAAAACTTTAATCCACTCAGTACAAAGTGAGGTGGAAATAGATGGTTTATAATAAAAAAAAGGCCGGGTTTGATTGCTTGGTCTCAGAAAGTTATGAGCACTTGGAAGAATCTGGAATGTGACTAGGAGTATCCCATAAAGGGACAATCTGTTCTTTTTAATTCCAGTGACAATTATGATTATTTGTTTCATACGTACATCAGTCAGTTTTATGGAACTGATGCTCTTCTCCCTGGTTGCAAAGATGATCCACTAAATGGTGATGAAGAGTCGAAAGACGGTAACTAGTTACAAGGTCGTAGAAAGTGTGTAAAGCATTTCAGAGAAGAATCGTTGAACTACAGCGTGATTGTTCCGAGCACAGACTCTGGAGTCAGACAGCTGCCGTTGAAGTCCCGGCCCCACCCTTCGCCCACTGGTGTGTGGTCTCGAGCGAATCGCTGAGCTCTGTGCCCTGTCTCTTCGTCTGCAGAAGTTAGGGTGACAGTCATACCTCCCCCCGGTGACTGCTCTGAGGACCGAGTAAAACCCTTCTAACAGTGTCAAGTTCACATTACGTTCTTGAAAAATGTTTATTTTTACCACTTAGCCATTAGTATGTTGCTTATAGGAACCATCTGTGCTCTAGAAATATTCAGGCAAATGCTGTTTTAATGAATATTCTTGATTTTGACAGCAGTTTAAGATATTTTAGCATTTATTATCTTTACAGTGCATGTATGACTAAGTCAAATACGAAATTGGAAGTTTTTAAGGAAGACATTCTTTACTCATTCCTGTATTTCCTTCAGTATCAGTATTTTGTATCAGTATAAACTTACTACATATTTTTAAAATAAAATGTATTTTCAAGAAAATAAATGTTAAGCAACCCACTTAGAAAGTTAAATACTGACTTATATTCTGTTTCTTTTCTTCTGTCTAGGAAAGGTTTCAGTTCCCACCTCAGGTGACAGATGTATCGGAACATGCCAAGGACCTTATTCGAAGGCTCATCTGCAGCAGAGAGCATCGGCTTGGCCAGAACGGAATAGAAGACTTTAAGAAACACCCCTTCTTCAGTGGGATCGACTGGGATAATATTCGAAACTGTGAAGCACCCTATATTCCAGAAGTTAGTAGCCCAACAGATACATCGAATTTTGACGTAGACGACGATTGTTTAAAGAACACTGTGAGTATGACGCCGTGAAGACGTTCTGTCCCTGCTCGTTTTCATGCGGTTCTGAAGGAATATCAGGGGCCAGCTCATCAGTGATCAGACAGTGATGGCTTCTGGTGTCTGTTTCCTCACTCATTCAGGAAATCGACAGAGTGTGCTGAGGTGAACATAGTTATTCATGGCTAGGAGCAAAATTAAAAATCAGAGGTTTACTTCTGAGATGAGTTATGCCGTTAGAGTTCCTAAAAAGTGGATTCATGATGGCAGAGTGATGAGGCTGGCAGATCTGTCCTGAAAACCTCCATGAACCTGGACAGAATGGTCACAAACAACATTTCAAGGCTTGACCAGTCGACCCAAGTCAAACAAATTGAGAAACACCTACTCATGGAAAACCACTGAACTTTGGTTAAAAGCAGCTCCCTACCCCCTTCCGTCTGCCCGGGTGGGGCAGCAGAGCTGCCGGCCTGGAGCTGCCTGTGAGCCCAGCGGCCCTGCTGCCGAGGGGCTGGCCGGCCGGGGTTGGAGAGCTAACAACCCAGGCCTAGTGGCGTCACCGCTGAAAACCACAGGCCTGGGCGACTGAGTGGGCAGCGAGAAGCTGCCGCGTAACTAGCCTGAAGTCGCAGCCTGCTTGGGGCAGGTGGCAGGCCAGCCGGTCGGCCAAACACTCGGCCGTTTTCAGCTTGTGGCCGGTGTCGTTTGTCAGCCTTTGCCCTAAACCATTAGGTTACATGAAAGTAGAATTTGGAAAAATAAGGACATAAAATTTTTACGGTTTTTGCCTTTTTAGCCTTCTTAGTTTGAATTTTCGTTTTAATTCAGTTATTCTGCACTGAGAATTTTTATATTAATTTTAAATCACTTTTCACTATTTGGTAAGTAGATAAAAGAAAGGCAAGTACCATATGATTTCACTTATGTGTGGAATCTAATGAGCAGAACAAACTAACAAAATGGAAGCAGACTCATAGATACAGAGAACAGACTGACAGCTGTCAGAGCGGAGGGAACTGTGGGGCTGGGTGGAAAAAGGGAAGGGAAAAAGCACACAGTGTGCTGATGATCCCGTGTTATGGAACTGCACACCTGAAGTCCGTAAATTCAGTAAAAATTAAAAAAAGAACCTTGCCCTGGCTGGCGTAGCTCAGTGGATTAAGCTCAGGCTGTGAACTAAAGTGTTGCAGGTTCGATTCCCAGTCAGGGCACATGCCTGGGTTGCAGGCCACGGCCCCCAGCAACCGCACATTGATCTCTCTCTCTCTCTCTCTCTCTCTCTCCCTTCCCTCTCTAAAAATAAACAAACAAAATCTTAAAAAAATAAAAAATAAATAAATAAAGAACCTTTTATACTTTCCTCTCTGAACCTCGCAAAAAAGAATTAAATAGACTTTACTCATCAGTTTTTTATTATAGGGTTATATTTACTGTTAACAGAAATTGTGAGTCATTCCAAATTAAATACACAGTGCAGTCAATTCTCATTATTTGTGGGAGTTATGTTTAATAACACTGCCGTGAACACTGTTATTGGTGAATATTGAACCATTGCCCCAGGGGAAATAGGTGTAGGTTCCTCTGAGCCTGTGGTCTACGCATTTTTATCAACCAATCAATACATAACGTTTTTCTATGTGTATTCCCATTTAAAGACAGCTTATTTAATAGATACTGCTGATCAGCCTGCGCCGAGCTCACGGCCAGCAGCGCTGTCGGTCATGCGGAACAAGCGTACCGCCACTTTCTGTTTTGTAAGATGCATCACAGCCTTCTTACGTAGGGACAGAAGATGGCACTTGGGCACCATGCTTGGAGGCCACTTAAACAGAAAATCACCCATAGAAAGCACGGAAATGTGAAACACGTGGTACACTTAGGCCCGAAGAGCACGCTTGTTTACGGTGTGAGAGCCGACCTAAGAAGGCAGGTGTCCCCTGGTCCAAGTCCAGCTGGGAGCGCGGGTGTGGGGCAGCCCGGGCTTTTCCTTGCCCCGCACACGGCTACTGAAGTGCTGTGAACACTGATTTGGGGTTACAAATAAATTTCAGTGGCCCGGCAAAGGTGCAGACATGGACTGCGTGAAAAAGGGCTGTGCGCTATCAGTCAGACTTTATCTTTCCTTTCATTTTATTCGAATTTTACGATAGCAGTGTTCATGGTCTAAATGTATCACTAACCATCTGTGCCAAACTTACCAGTGTTTCCAAATTGAACGTTTGCATATTTCCCGTTGACAGTCCATGTTTGTAGCCCCGCCTACAGGCCACAGGTATCTATCTCTCACCAGGTGTGTTTACGTCCTGTAGGAAACGATGCCGCCACCAACACACACTGCGTTTTCTGGCCACCACCTGCCGTTCGTGGGTTTTACCTATACTAGTAGCTGGTAAGTTTCAGATGTTAACATAATTTGCACAAGTTAAAGAAAATTAAAATGAATTGTGGTTTAAAATATATATAATGTGTAAGAGAACTTTGTAAATCAAAAATAAAAATAGTGTGAAGCTACTGCTGGGCTGTTAGACGTTTCAAAACGAATAGAACAAAAAGAATCATAACTCATTTTGGGGGAGAAAGGCTAGGACAGATAGCTCCAAGTCTAACAGCAATGGGGCAGGAAATAGGAGAACTCCCTTGCTGTTGAGCAAATACTCTCTAGGCGTCAAGAGACAGAACTTGCAACTCATTAATCTTCACCTTCTTTTCACCAGCCCTTGTTCCACTCATCTCTTCTCTTTCCCCCTCACCCCGTTTCGATTTCCTTGACAGCGACTGTGATAACTCCTTGTGAGTGTCCCTCAATTCCTTGACTGTCCCATTTTGTCACACTGGCTTTGCTAAGTTGACATTCATTATCACAATGCACTGTTCTGCCTGTACCTGTGCAGTTCAGCGTCTAGAAAAAAGTATGTAGCCGTTTTTACTGGTCTCACTTTCCAGTCACGATTACCAACCTCAGGTTCCTTTTCATACACCCTGTCGTGTGTGTGTGTACACGCTTCCACTGTCCTGGAGAGCTGTCCCATCCTGTACACTTTCCCCTGGATGCGGTCGTCCTCACTCTCTCTGACCTCTCTCCCTCTCTCACCAAGAGGGTGAAGCAAACCGCAGAAAATTCCACAGCTCCCATCACCACGTTTGCGTCCTGCACACCCCTGGCCCACACGCTCTTCCTGTCACGCGTGAACTGTGGACTAGGCCCATCTGCCCCGGCCTCCCTCCCCGCCCTCCCTCTTGCTACTCACTGCTACCTCATCAGTTTTTCCCTTTCTGTGTCGTTTGCACGATCAGATCATTCACGTCAGCCCACAGACACGCAGTGTTTTCTCCCGTCTTACAGCAAAGTGTAAAATCTCTCCTAACCCCACTTTCTTTACCTGCTACCAGCCATTTCTCTGCTCCACATTACAGCAAAATTACTTCCCACCGTTGCCTCTATTTTGTCTTTTTTTCTCATTGTTTTTTCCTTACACGGCTCCAGTCAAGTCTGTGCTCCCACCCTCCATGCAGACGGCTTTCATCACTCTCACCACCGGCCTCCATGTTGCTAAATGTAATGATCATTTCTTAGTCTGTCTGGTTTGCCTGGTCTCGTCTAATTTGTCCTGGCTGTTTGCCATCAAAACACGCGCTTCTCTCGGCTTCCGTGCACTCCCGATTTCTCCTTACCCTCTGGCCACTCCTCAGTCCCGTCCGCTGCCTCCTGATCTCCCTTGTCCCACGGCTCCGTCTTTGGGTCTTTTCCACGTACACTCTCGGGTGCTCTCACGGATACTTACTCACACCTCCTCGTGTGCATCTCCCGTCCAGACCTCCTCCTGTTCTCCTTCAAGTCTCTCTTCCCCACCTGCTTCAGATGTTCACGGCTTTGGTTCTTATTTCCTCTGCACCTGGCTGAGTGATCCTGTTCAAAGTTAAGTCAGATAATGGCATTCCCCTGCTCAGGACCAACCCCCACCACCCCCACCTCTGGTGACTTTGTGCCTTAACTCCAAACCAGAGTTCTTACAAGGCCCTGTATGGCTGGCTCACTTCACTTGCCTTCCTGGTTCCGTCCACTGCTGCTCTTCCCCTTGCTCACTCCGTGCCAGCCACACAGGCCTCCCTTCTGGCCCGTGAGTGTGCCAGGCGTACTCTTATTTCCAGGTTCTGCACTTCTGTTCCATCTGCCTGGAGTGCTGCTCCCCAGTGTTCCCAGAGTCCCCTCTCTCTCTGGGCTCTATTCACAGTTACTTTCTGAGTGATGACTTTCCTGGCCACTTTATCTGCATTTTTATTTCCTCCCTCTCAATACTTTATTTCCTCCTTTCCTGCTTTTTTTTTTTTAGCATTTAATATTATCTAATGTACTGAATATTTTACTTATCTTGGTTATTTTTGTCTCCTCTCCATCGCTGGAAAATAAACTCTACATTGGGCACATTTTGTTCTGCTCACTGCTGCGTGTCCAGTACCTCAAATATTTTTATTTAAACTGTGTTACATTGAAGAAAGCATTTTACATTTGAATTCTGAATTTCAGGAAAGAGGACCATGGTGGTGCTTTTGACCACCAGTTTACTGAGGTGGTTACGTCTTGTTTTAAACTGCCAACAACCCCTCAGCAAACTTCGTTTTATAATTTTTGGTTATTAATATAAATACAGGGTAATTTGGACTATTGAAGTTTTTATTGTTAAAAATGCTTCTAAAAAGTCATTTATGCTGAGCTTGCAAAAAAGAAAAGTTCTTCTGTCATTCTAGATTGCTACCATAACTAGGTATTCAAATCCATGTTTTAAATGAACAGTTTCAAAAGATTATCTTTTTTCTTTGAACTTTGTGTTTCGGTGTAAACCCACATGTTTTTCCTTCCTCCAGCGTTCTTTCTGACCGGAGCTGTTTGAGAGTCACCGCAGGCCCCGCCTCCCTGGATCTCGATGCCAGCGTCCAGAGGACTCTGGATAACAACTTAGCCACGGAAGCTTATGAAAGAAGAATTAAACGCCTTGAACAGGAAAAGCTTGAACTTAGTAGGAAGCTTCAAGGTGAATATATTATAAAGATAATATGTTTCCTTTTTGAATTGGACTCAGTGTCAGGGGCTGTTTATTATAAATGGTTGCTTTATCTTGAAAAGAAATTTTTTAATGAAGTAGGGAAAAATCAGGTTGTGGAAATTTATGCAGAATACAGTGTAATATTTATGTAAATTCACAAAATCAATAAGGAAACAAAATGGCATTTGTTTCCCACAGGTATTTGTGTGTACATGTGTAAACACACACACACACACACACACACACACACACACGGATCAAAGTAGGTTAAATGACCAGCCATCAGTACCTAAAAGATAAATCATTAGTATGGATACAAAATAAAAAGAAGATAAATAATATAAATAATAATACGAGGAAAAACTCTGTTTTGTGTGCTCACAGCTGTAACCCTACTTGTGCCCACCCCTGTAGAGAGAGATGTGTGGGAGTCATTACCTCGGAGAGAGGAAATGGGACTGCCGGGGGAAGGGAGCCCTTCTCATCCTGGACTTTTCCCCCTGTGGCTCCTCAGCCCTGAAAGCTGCAGCTCTTCGCCCCCTCCCCGCCCTGTGCCGCAGAACCCAGCAGGCTCTCCCAGTGCTCGTCCCTTGACCCAGCGGCACTGGACCACTCGCCCACCTCCCTCTCCTAAGGAGCTCTTTCTTCTTTCGGCTCCGGGGGCTCTTTAATCTCCTGGTTTTCTTTTTCCTCATCGACTGGTTATTCTTAGTTCCATTTGCTGATTTCCCCTTAACTCGGATGTTAAGTCCATTTGTTCTGAAATATGGTTCAATTCCAGTGTTTCCTTGTTTGTTTTCTGCCTGGATGATTTATCCGTTGTTGGTACTGGGGTACTGAAGTCTCCTACTGTTACTCCATTTGGTCCATTTCTCCCTTCACATCTGTTAGTATTTGCTTAATGTATTTGGTGCTTACGTGTTTGGAAGCATATACTTCGCAGCTGTTACATTTTCTGGATGCAGTGACCCCTTTATCATTATGTAGGGACCTTTTTGTCCCCCCACTGTTTTTGCCTTGAAGTCCGTGTGACCTGATACAAGTGTGCCCACTTCGCTTTGGTTTCTGCTTGCTTGGAATGTTGTCTTCGGTCCCTGCACTTGGAGCCTGGATGTGTCTTGAGCGTTGAAACGAGTCTCCTTCAGGCAGCGTCTAGTTGGGCCCTGTTTTCTAATCCAGCAGCCACTCTCTCTCTGCTTTTCGATTGGTGAACTCAGTCCATTTACGTTCAGGGTGATTATTGATATGCAAGGACTTACTGCTTATTTTTTCCATTCTGGTTATTTTTAATCTCCATTTTTTTCTTTTTCCTTCTGTTTCTGTTTTTATTTAAATAATTATTACTGATTTTAGAGAAGGAAGGAAGGAAGGAGGGAGGAGAGAGAAACAGACTGATAGACATTGATTTGTTGATCCGTTTATTAATGTACTCATTAGTCAATTCTTGTATGTGTCCTGGCTGGGGATCGAACCTGCGACCTTGGCATACCAGGAGGATGCTATAACTTTCTGTTTCTGTTTACCTCTGTAAGTTGATGGTTCTCCCTGGTGATGTGCTCATGTCCCCCTCCCTCCTTTTGTTTTATGTCTGTACTCCAGATTTTCGCTTTGTTGTTACCGTGAGGGTTACATAAAATGTCTCATGGATAAAAGTCTGTTTTTTCTGCTCATAGTCCTTTATCTTCATTCACCTATAAAAGTTCTTTCACCTCCCCTCTTATATTTCTGATGTCACAAATTCTCTCTCCAGTGTGAATTTGTTACCAAATTATAGTAGCTATAGTTATTTTCAATGCTTTTTTCCTTTAACATTTATTCTATACTAAGAGTTAAACACTATTCTAAAATAGAGCTACTGTTTTTTCTAATTCTGGCTATCATCTTAATCAGAGTTTTGTGTACTTTCATCTTTCCATTTTAGGTTGAAGAGCTCATTTCAACATTTCTTGTAGGGCAGGTTCCTCAGCTTCGTTCGCCTGGGAAAGCCTTGCTTCTTAATAGCAGAGGGGGAAGTTGCTAGCTAGAGTGTTCTTGGCTGGCCATTTTTATCTTTCAATACTTTGAGTGTGTGATTCCCCTCTCTCCTGGACTGCAGACATTCTGCTGAGAAATCTGCTTATATCCTAATGAGGGTTCCTTTGTAGGTTTTTTTTCCCCCGGCTTTCCTTAAAATTAGTTCTTTATAATGGACTTTCGATCACTTAGACTGTGTGTGATTTCAATGGACTTGAAATCACTTGACTGTGTGTTGAAGGTCTTTTTGCGTTGAGGTAATAAAGTGTTCTGTCAGCTTCTTGGACTTGGATGTCTGGTTCTCCCCCCAGGTTTGAGAAGTTCTCAGCTGTTATTTCTTTAAATGTTCTGCCTCCTTCTCCCTCTCTTGTCCCTCTGATATACCCGTTATTTATCTGTCTGACTCTAAGGGAGTCAGACAAGTCTTGTTGGCTTTCTTCACTTTTTACAAAATTAATGCTCTCTCCTCTTCACCTGAATCATTTGTAACACCTCTTACACAGACTGCTGTTCTGTCTTCCGTGTGGTCTGCTCTGTCTCCAGTGCTCTGCATCTCAGGCACGCTTCATCTCGTCTGCTGAGTTCTTCGGCTCCAGAATTTTTGCTTGGTTCTTTTATAATTTCAGCCTCCTTGGGAAATTATTTATTTTGTTCATCAATCTTATTCCTGAATTCACTGAATTGCCTCTCTAAGTTTCCTTTTACTCTGTTGAATGTCTTCATAACATCTATTTTGAATCCTCTGTCAGATCGCAGTATTCCGTGTCCGTGAGTTTGGTTGCCGGAGAATTGTCATTTCCTTTTGTACTGCAGTACTATGATCTTTCAGCGTTGTGTGAAACGTGCCTCTGCCATCACGTTTGAAGCTGCAAATATCTTCCTCATTTAGGGAAGGCTTGGTTTCCTTTGATTCTCCTAACAGTTGAACAGCTTTGCAACCAGAAGCGTTTCTTTTGCTTTCCAGAAGGTGGCAATGCAGCACAAGGTTTTGGTTACTCTTCAGGGAGCTGACTTGAAACAGGCTCAAATGCTGGTGGCGGTTAGCTGGAGGTGTGTGCTTAGCACCTGGGGCCCTGGGTGTGCTCCCGACCTGGTAGGGGGATCCTCAGGTTGGGGAGTCCCAGAGGTCTGTGGGCAGACAGCATGTAATTCAGCTCTATTTGTCTGTCCTCTTCCCTTTCCTCTCCCTCCCCAGTTACCGAGGCCTCGCCTCAGAAAGCCAGGTGCTGCTAAAGAGCATATGGTTCCCCCAGCTGCAGTGCTCTGGGCCAGGCAGGCTTGGACTCACCACCCCCCCCCCAGAAAGGGCTCTGCTGGCACCCCTCTGCCGCAACTCCCACGGCTCTGGAGCCTCCCCCTGGGTCAGGTCTACCCACTGTGGGTCCACAGTGGGATGGACCTCTCGGGTGCACTGGACTGCTGGTCAGAAGCACTTTTGTCCAGTTATGGCTGTCCAGTTCAGTGTGAATCTCAGGGAGTCGAAAGAGGAATGACCCATGTCACCGTGACGCTGATGTCACTCTGCTTTGATTTTTAAATGGTGTTATACCTACAGCAAAGTGTGCATAAATGTTCATGTATGTGCCCAGTCACGTAACCTTCCCCCCAGTCAATGTGTAGAGCACTCCTACCTTAGCATAAAGTTCCTCCATGCCCGTGGCCCCTCTGTTTTCCACCACTCTCCAGTAAACACTGTCTTAATACTCTTGTTAGTTAATGTTACCTGTTCTCGAACTTCATATAAATTGTATCATACAGTGTGGTCTCATTTGTATCTGGCTTCTTGCACTCAACACGTTGTGTTTTTCAGATTCATCTGTTACGGATTCATTAATAGTTTGTTCTATTTTTATATTGCTGTTTAGTATTACATTGTACGTTAATACTAAAATTGTGTTTATCTAATGTCTTAGTGTGTTCTGGTTTGTGTAACTAAATCCAACATATTGGGTGGTTTAAAAACCACAGAAGTTTATTTCTCACAGTCCTGGAAGCTGAAGTCCAAGATCAGCCTGCCCCCATGGTCACGTGCGGGTTCATAGCCAGTGCCTCCTCGCTGCGTCCTCACCTGGTGGAAGGGGCTGGGGTCTTCAAGGGCTTTCTTTTGTGAGGCCCTGATTTCATGCATGAGGACTCCACTCTGAAACTTAAGCACCTACCAAAGGCCCCGTCTTCTAATAGCATCATCTTTGAGCAGTTAGAATTTCGACGTATTAATTTGGAGGCAGGGCACAAACATTTAGAACATTCCATCTGATTTGTTGCTGTTGAGCATTTGGGTTATTTCCAGATATTGACTGTTATGAGCCTAAATTCTGAGAAAGTTCTCTCTCTCTCTGTCAGTCATATGTACTTACTTCTCTTGGATGTCCACCTAGGAGTAGCATTTCTGGGTCAAGGGGTAGTGTGTTTTCAATTTTTAGCAATTCTGGTGTCTGTATACTAGAGTATGCTATGATTTTTTTTTTAAGATTTTATTTATTTTTTAGAGAGGGAAGGGAGGGAGAGAGAGAGAGAGAGAGACAGAAACATCAATGTGTGGTTGCTGAGGGTTATGGCCTGCAACCCAGGCATGTACCCTGGCTGAGAATCGAACCTGCAACACTTTGGTTTGCAGCCCCCACTCAATCCACTGAGCTACGCCAGCCAGGGTGTTTGCTATGATTTTAATTTGTGTTTCTCTAGTAAGTAATGAGTTTGAGTGTCTTTTCATGTATTTACTATACATTTGGATAGTCTTGTGAAGTCCCTATTCAATGTTCTTCCCCATTTTTTCTGTTAGGTCTTTATCTGTGTGTGTGCTATTTTTTTTTTAATTCTTATTATTTATTTATTTTTAAACGATTTTATTTATCTCTGTTTTTTTGAAAAATAACTTTTACCACTTCACAATGTAAAAACCTTACAACAGTCCTTTGTGTGATCATTGTCATACATTTTAGCTCTGTGTTGTAAACCTCTCAATGCATTTATGTTCTTGTTACTTTAAATATTTATTACTCATTAATTTTGTAAAAATATCTTTTTATTTACCTAAATGTTTACCCTTTTAGTGCTCTTTATTTCTCCCTAGTGATTTGTTCCCATCTGGAATCGTTTCTCTTTAATCTGAAAAACTTCCTTTAGTATTTCTTTAGATGTGTGACAAAAACCTCAGAGTTTGTCTTGAGATGCCGTGGCCTTCAGTCTTGAAGGACATTTTGCTGCATTGGACGTCTGGCCTTTCCCCCTTTCGTTGCTGTCAGATGCCACCCCACTGCTTTCCCGCCTCTGCTGTGTCCGAAAGAAGAGCTGTCCGCCTGGGTCTCTTGCACGTGTGCTGGTTTCCCTCTCCCCGCTCTCAGCGTCTTCTCCTCCTTCCGTTTTAAGCAGTTGGACTGTAATGTGCCAGTGTGCAGTTTACTTTGTACCGGTGTGCAATCCCGTGTGGGGTGCACCGAGCTTCTGGAACCTTGATTGGTATCTTTTATCAATTTCGGAAAATCCTGAACTGTAATCTCTGGGGACGTACATATGTGTCTTTTTGCCTCGTTCACTCCTCCCCTTCCGGGACTCCAGTGGCGTCTGTATGTTAGACCGTGGCCCACACTTCCTATCCCATTCCTCCCACCCTTAGTTTCTTTGTGGTTACTTGGAACATTTCCTGTGGACTGGCCTTCGGGTTCATTGCTCCTATCCTCTGCTGAGTCTTGATTTCAGATATTGTCTCTCTTAGTTCGGTAATGTCTGCTTGATTCTTTCTTACCGTTTGCATTTCTCTGTGGAAATTTTTCATCTTTGTGTTTTTCTCTCTTTTTTAAAGTCCTTGTGTGAGAATTCCAACCGCGCAATTATTTGTGGGTCTGTCTGTATTTTCTGTTTTTTTCCGCCTGATTATTGATCACACTTTCATGCTTTTCAAATGTCTCACAATTTTTCCTGAGTGACGAATGTTGTGGATGAAAGTAACGTATAGACGTTTGTGTTATTTTCACTCAGAAAGGGATTTCCCTTTCTTTGTTTCGGGCTATGGGTAGTGGAGTTCTTAACCAACATGGGTTTATCGTCTCACTGAAATCGGAAGTAGGCGGTTTCAGTGCTGAGATGGAGTCGGCATCTCTGGGATCGCATTGGCGTCCCCTCATGATCCCTCAGTGCTGCCAAAGTTCTAGACGTCCTGTCTTCGCGCATCCACAGACCCCAGAAGAGAAGTTTCCCTTTCTCTGTCATCTCTTACTTAGTGGGAGATTAAAGTCTTTCTGTGAAGCCCCCTACTTGACTTCTTCTAAGGTATAACCAGGTCACACACCTAATTCTTAACTAGTACTGGTGATGTAGAATGGGATTACCATCCACCGTTTTGGCTGGGCCCACTTACCTGTGCGCACTGAAGCCTGACACCTGATCTGGTTGACAAGCAGAGAGAGAGGCCTCGCTGCTGGGCGAACACCTGACCGAGTCTGCCACCGGGGATCTGTGTGCCTGGGCGGACTCGGTGTTGGGTGGATTGTCTGTTCTGACGCTAGAGTCACTGGGGATGACGGAGTTGTGATGGGAAGGGGGCAGTGCACAGTGTGTAAACCTGTTGTTCCAAGAACGAGCAGGGCAGTGGGTCACTATATACACAGGGAGTGGGCATCGCAGCAGGCCTGGGACGTACAGGGAGGACAGCGGTGACAAAGACGAGCAAGGACACCCCTCCCCCGTCCTGCAGAGTGTGGGGTGTCGGGGGAAAAGCAGCTCCTGCTCATGTCCACTGGGTCTTCTTATGTCTCCTCATTCTTTCCTCCCAACCTAGATGTCTTTAGAATAGACAAAGGGTGTTCCTTTATAAACAATAAATACAAAAAGCACCAATTTTTAGCAAACCCAGAGATGAAGAAACATGTAAGAACTACTTATTGGGCATAAAATATCATGATTGGTTGCACAATATGGTGTATTTTACACCTTTAATTCCAATTAACAAATATTTATTAACCACTGTGCATGACGATGATGATGGTATTCTCTGTATGGGTGGTGAAGATGAATTAGAAAAATCTATCCTCTGAAGGTCACAGTCCTTTGGAGCTCAGTCGGTTATATATGGAATATATTTAAGTAATTACATAAATTAAGTAACAAATTACATAACGCAGTATATAAATAAGTACAATCATGCACCATATAATGACGTTTCAGTCAACAGTGGACCCCATACACCATATACCATGGTGATCCTGTAAGCTTATAACGGAATTAAAAGATTCCTGTGGCTTAGTGACACCGTAGATGTCATAAAGTCATAGAGCAACCGTTCGTCATTTGTTTGTGGTGATGCTGGTGCAAACAGGTCTGTGCCGCCCGCCACGTAGAAACATAGCACACACGTGTCAGAAGGTTTGCTGAGCGCACTCCACGACGTCTGCGCTTCTTACCGCCCGGCGTGGCCGTGTGGTGCGTGACTGGCGCAGAGCAGGTAGTGGTATTTATGCGAACAAAACACTGGGGCGAGGTGGAGACTTACTGTTTGGGAACTCTCCATAAGATAGCAGAATAACAATTTTAGGACAAGTGTGGTTTCATTTCTGACATAAATGGTTTTAAAGTGTTTTTTTTTTCAATATCTTTTGATAATATCTGGAGATAAGCCTCAAGGAAGTTAACGTTTCTTTAATACCTAGATCTTCTAGCATCTTCTAACTAGAACCCCAAGGTAAAAATCTCTAGTTTAACCAAACTGGTGAGCCAAAGTCATCTGTACATCGGCCTCAACTTCCATAGATAAAAATCGGAAGGCCAGCCCTTCTGCATATTGTGTGTTAACACCCCCAAACCTTCCACATACACCGTCTCCGTGTTTCATATGTGGTCTGACAGTGCTTTGGGGTCATCGCGTGATGGTGCTTTCCTGCCCCCGCTGTGTGTTGTCATGTTGAGGACAGATGCAGGGGAGTTTTTTTATTTAAAGTTAATGTGTTTACAAGCTTTTTTCCCAGTGGGTAGATGTTTTGATTAGTAGAATTATATAAGGATTTCTCTAGAAAGAAATACATATGCTGTCAGTTTTAAAAATTTAGAGCATGGCCCGACTCCTGATTCTCTCTTGCACTGACTTGTTTAAGAGTCAACGCAGACCGTCCAAGCCCTGCAGCACTCCACTGTCGACGGCCCCCTGGCGGCGAGCAAAGATTTGGAGATAAAAAGCTTGAAGGAAGAAATTGAAAAACTAAGGAAACAAGTAAGAGGTAAATTTCTGTTTCACTATTAACTCAATTTAGTAGATTTTTAAAAATCTTTTATTTGCACACAAAATGCTTGTTATTTGTCATGTGTTGCGTGGTTCGGGCTGTGGGCCAGGGAGGGGAAGCGAAGTAAGACGGGCGTCTGCTCTGCAGGAGCTCGCGTGTTGGTCTGGGGAGAAGATGCACGAGTGGTTTTTGCAGAACACGTGTGCAGGCTGTAAGGACAATAAACGTAGGTACACAGGTGAAGCACCTAGCCCAGATTTTAGTTCACAAAGGTGAGTCTTCCAGAAGACCTGTTAGTTTGGGATGCTTCATTGGAGTTTGTCTGGCAAAGTATGCATTTGAGTGGGGGAAAGAGTGTTAGGAGTGAGGAGGGAAAGACAAAAGAATTCCATGTGTACAGGCATGAAGGCATGTGAAACTTTCTTTGTAAGTTTATTTTTCAGTGTATTGCTGAGATAGATTGAAAGTAATTTTGACAGCTCTTGATATACCTAGTGTATCCATTCATTAATGTATTACATTCATTCAACAAATATTTATTGAGTACCTACTGTGTGTACCAGGTGTTGTTTTAAGCTCTTGGAATGCTAGAAGGCATGAGTGCTTAAAGACAGTGCAGAATAAGGGGAATGGGTCACAAGTGCAAGCTGAGGAGTTTTTGAATTTTAAGTGGGGTGGTCCAGATGTAAGCCTCATTGAGCAAGTGACCCTCGGGCACAAACCTGAAGAAGGGAAGGGGCCTGGCCATGCAGCTGAATTGGGAACTTACGTTCCAAGCCGAAGGACCAGCCAGTGCAAAAGCCATACGGTTAGAATGGGCCTCTTGAGTCCAAATGAGGCCCAGACGACAGCGTGGCTGGGGTGGAAGGAATGAGCGTGCAGGGAGGATGGAAGGAGATGAGCTGGACAAGCACAGGGGTGGAGAGGGCTTTTCCTGACTAGTAGGGTTTTACTGTTTTAAGGACTTTGGATTTTCTTCTGAGTGAAATAGGAAACTTTTTCAGGGTTTGGAGTCATGTCTGTCCCCTCCCACCCCCTCCGCTAAGGTATGTAAGTAGAGGAGAAATCTAGTGAGTGGATAGAGGCACCGGGAGATGCTGTGCCCCTCAGGGTCAGAAGTACAGTTTCGCCCCCGAAGAGCTGCACAGTATCATAGGAATGAGAGCATGACGGAAGAGCTGCGACCGTGTGCTCTCGTGGGTCAGAGAGACCCTCAGACCGTTCTCCCGGTCGCCCCCGACTCCAGTCTCAGCCCCTTTGTGGTTTACCAAACGCAGCTCCGCAGACGACTCCAGAGATCTAAAATAAACTATGCTGTCCGTAGCAGCATTTAGACTTTCAAAACCCCTGAGATGGATAAACTTTTAAATGATTAAATCTGTGACTGTGACTTTAGGGCACTAAGTATTAGTAAATTACTGAATTTAAGAAATCTAGAACCAGTTGGTATGGGACACCCTGACACACGTCAGTGACTCTGACTATTGGACCGACGTATCATAAACACTGCCTCGTTTATGGACAACATTAAACTCAACAGTGCACAATGATGTATGCATTTGCTCGCATGCTTTAATTTGCGAACAAGTCACCCAGGAATCGTGTTCAAATACAGAGTCTGGTTCAGTAGGTTTGGAGTGGGTCCCGAGATCCTGCGTCTCTAACAAGCTGCCAGGGGGTGCTGATGCAGCCCGGCTGGGGTGACACTCAGAGCAACAAGGCTGTAAAGAACAGGAAACGCCCTGCACAGAATTGTCAGTGAATGTGTTTCGATTTTTCTATTTTCAGTGGCTTCAGTTCTTTAAATATTGCCAGGAATATTTTACTTCAATCTATTATTAAATATTATTTAAATATAGACTAAAATTAATACTTTTACTTTATTTTGTAATCTCCTTTAACTAATAATGCTAAACATTATTTAATATCATTGCTTTCTGGAGAGTTTGATGCAAGAATTTGTGGGCTCAAAGAAAACGGGAAAGAAAAAGTGTTTCTGTGCCGAGTCTTAGCTCTGATACTCAGTCAGCCGAGTGACCCTCAGTGCGGTATTCCGCTCCCTTGAGTCCCAGTTTTTATCTGAAAAACAGAGGAACTGACTTCGATGGAAGGTGTTCAGGCACTTACTTTTAGAAACCAGAGTGTACTCTTCAGTCGTCACGAGTGAAACCAGGTCGGGTGATCCGGAGCCACGACATCGGAAGCAAAACCACCGTACAGTGACTTGACGACCATCAGCACACAGGTGCCAGCCAGCAGGGCAGGAGAAGCTGCCTGCGTTGTGCGTGCGGCTGGTTTTCTTCTTCGTTACTTTTACTACGCTCTTCATTGGTTCTGGAGGTACTGTTTTTAGAAGTACGGCCTTTTTATTCTCATAGCTGTTTAAGGCGCTTGGTACAAGTTCACATTGGCATTAGCTCCTCACCATCTCTTGCACAAATAGTAAACAAAACATTGTCGTCTCTTTTAGAGTCGAGTCACTTGGAACAGCAACTTGAAGAAGCTAACTCAGTGAGGCGAGAGCTAGATGAGGCTTTTAGACAAATCAAGGCTTATGAAAAACAAATCAAAACGTTGCAGCAAGAACGGGAAGAATTAAATAAGGTAAAAAAATACAGATAGATTGTTAAAGACTTTTCTGAATTCTTAATTTTGTTTAATTTGTGTATTGAAAGTATTCATATATAATAATACTAATGTAGTGTGTATTTTATCTGTAAAAAGTTGGTTAAAATTTAAGAATTATTTGGTGTATGTCATTTGATTAATAGCTAGTAATGAAAAAACATTCTTGAGGCTTTAAAGGTCAGAATCTTTTGGGGGTTTTTTTGGAAAGTTAATAATCAAAGAACTGATTAAAAATGAAAATTATTGAAAAAGAAATGTTATGAAGAAATAGGAGAATAGTAAAATCAGTTTAGTCTCTGTGTACGAATTAAAGATACAGGCACATTTTCATTGTGACTTGCTGATATCAGCATTCTTAAGATTATATTAGAAGATTTCTTTAATGCTTTAGTGATTTTTTTTAAATGTCGGTTCATCTTTTAAAGCATAGGTGAACAAACTAAAATGATTTCCATAGGAACTCTGTGCAGCACTTAACCAGCATCATACACATCAACAGAACGTGTAACAGCTGGGACACCAACACAGCCCAATAGGGAAAATAAAATTCAAGCACTAGAGAAAATACTTAGCTTAAACTACACTTTGTGTGTATCTCGCCTTTCACTGACCGATATTTTAAAATGTTGGAATTAGTACTAACCAATGCAAAAAAGAAATGAGTGGCTTACGGTGTAGTATAAATTGTATTCAGTGATGTCGTGTATGATACATTGATAGTACAGAGAGAAATCCTTCTGCGGGAAATTTATAAGTCTTGCTTTCAGTAAAGAAATGGAGGTAATTAAAAATAAAACAAACTTTTGCTGATGTGGCTAATAACAAAACACTAATGGAGAAATCTATAAAGGTTACATTGAATTAGGTTAGTTAATTGAATTTTTACTTTTTTCTTGATATAGTTTCAAGCAGTGTTGTGTATAGAGTCATTTAAATTCATGGCCAATTTAATATTTGGAATTTATAGTAGATGTTGTATTTGTTTTAATAATATTGTAGTAATGTTAGTGGTTACTGTTACGTATTTAAAGGTAGGACTACTCAGCTAAGCTTAGTTAACATAACGAGATGAGAGTCTGATATCTAGATGTATAATAACTGGTTATTTAGTTATAGTGTATTTACTAATATACTATTTATGTTAATATACAGGGTCCTGCAGAAGTAAGGCTTACTTGAGTGTGGTTGGTAGGGTGTGTGAATGTCTCACATGAGATGGACAGCAATTCGAACAGTTCACCTAAAATCATATGGTGTGCTTGAGTGTGATGTTGTTTATTATGTTACAGAACTACATGCTTATGATTTTGTAATTAAAAAAAGGTTATTTATGCTGGACCCTGTATAATAATTATATACCACATAATTGTATAATGTATAATTTATAATTATATAATGTATAACAAGATATTATATTAATACATAGGTTAATAATACTATATTTTGAGAGGAGAATAATGCTGAAAAGAAATAGATTATATACATAGAGTTTTAAATGATTTGGTTAATATCTTACAGGCAGCAGATACTCTTTAAAGATTTTTTTCACACTGGCTGGTGTTGCTCAGTGGATTGGGTGCTGGACTGGGAACCGAAAGGTGTCGGTCGGATCCCCAGTCAGGGCCGTGCCCAGGTGGTGGGCCAGGTCCCGGTTGGAGGTGTGTGAGGGGCAGCTGGGTCACATCACTGCCTCTCTCCCCCTCCTCCTCCCGGCCTTCCCCTCTCTCTAAACATAAATAAATAAATAAAATCTTTTAAAAAATCCCAAGGACATTTTTTAAGAATATTTTTTCCTTTGATGCACATGAAAGAATAAATGTAACATTATGTAAGTTTTGTAGTCAAATTTATAAATATCTTTATGGTTCATGCATTTTTTGGCTTGTGGAAGAAATCTGAGTTAAAAAACAATTCTCTTAAAATTTTATCTCGAAGTTTTTAAGTTTGGTGTCTCATATTTAAATGTTAATGCACCAGAAATTATTTTTGTGTGTCATGAGAGCTAAGCACTGATTTCACTTGCCCCGTGTGGCTCACCAGGCCCTCCTTTCCCCGGGATGTGCGGTGGCGCCTCTGCCGTGCATTGAATTTCCCCTGTGCATCCGCCAGTCTCTGTCTCAGTTCTCTGTTCCTGGACGACCGTGATGGCATTTGTGTTAAAATTACATTAAGTCTAGGGAGCAGTTTCGGGAGAATTGACATCATTGTAGTATTGCGTCTTTAACTTCTTACTGCCCATACTTATTAATATTATACTAAATGTACACACAGACTTCAAGAGCAGAGCAGATTGTTATGATTTACAGTTGTCCCCCTTATCCACGGGGTATATGTTCCTAGACCCCCAGTGGGTGCCTGAAACCGTGGGTAGTGCTGCCCCCTGTACATATCAAGTAAAATAAGGGAACTTGGACGTGAGCACTACAATGCCCTCACAGAGGGCCGAGAGGGCCACGGAGTGACTCACCAGCGTGCAGTGTCTTCAGCGTGGACACACCGGACAGAGGGGTGACTCTCGTCCCAGGCAGGGCAGAGCACGATGGCGTGCGATTTCATCACACTATTCAGAAGGGCAAGCAATTTAAAACTTTTGAATTGTTTCTTTCTGGAATTTTCTATTTAATGTCTTTGGACCTGGGTTGACTCAGGGTAATTGAATTCGCCAAAAGTGAATCCATGGATAAGGGGTTGGGGGAGACTGCTATACATCCAGCCAAAAATAGCTACATGGTTCCCTGGGCGCCAGTCTTGCTCTGGGGCAAAACAGTGATTGCTGGGTGGTTAGAAGCCGACACATACGCATGCAAAGTCTGTACTGTAGCTTAGGAGCCCCGGGCAAGTGAACCGGTATGTGTGTACATAGAGAAGAGAAGCACAAGCTTCCCGCTTCCCCCCACCTGCATCCACCCTTCTGAGACTTCCCTCGGAAACCTCAGGAGAAGGACCCAGGACACCTGGGAATATTTGAAATACATCATTCCGGTGGAAAGGCATGCCCAGAGCTGCCAGCTGTATAAAGAGGATATCTCCCTGGTTCAGGCTCTTAACTCTCTCTCTGCTCCGTCTTGAAATGGGAACACATACGTCCAGGAGTTAAATCTCTTTGGATTTTCTCACTAGGTTACACATAAATTACTTTAAAAGTCTTTCCCAGGTCTCAAGTTTCAGTAATATTTACCTAGAAAGACCTAACTGTATAAAAACATAAAAATATTTTCTCTGCACTTCACAGTCTTTTCATCTACAAGCATACTGTATCTCTCCATATCTTTAAAGTCCTTTAAGATGTTTTTCTGTAAAATTGTATACCTGTCCTATTTGCTTTTCCTTAAATTTATTATCCTATTTTTTCATATTTTAGATGGTATCTTTAAAAATTGTACTTTTCCTGATTTTGTTCTAGCAATGTTGCTAAACTCGCACTAATTGTAATAACATATTCGAGACTCTTTCAAGTTTTCTGCAAATAATGACTGTTTCGTTTCTCCCTTTTTTATCTCTGTGACTTCTCCCTCCTTCCCTGTCTCACTGCACTGGCGCAGACCTCTAGCACTGTGTGGATCAGCGGTGGTGACAGCAGACATTCCTGTCTCTCTCCCGATTTCAGAGCAAACGTCTTTCATGTTTCGCCACTAATGTTTTCTGTATGTTTTTGGTAAATCTTACCAGGTTAAGGAAGTTATCTTCTGTTTCTTTTGTGCTAGTCATTTTGATCAATAATGGGTACTGAATTTATTAAATGTGCTTTTTATGCACACTGTTGTAACAAGTTACTAGGACTAATTAATACTCATCGATGGAATTATATGATTCCTTAATAAATTGGTGTAGTGAATTACATTTATAGACTTTTTTAACATTAAACTACTTCTGCATTTCTGGGTTAACTATGAATTTTTCATCTCCTTCTAAATAACATGATAGTACAGGTGACACATAGCATCAGTTCTAATAGCATTATTTTAAGTGCTTTACATATATTAGATCATTTAATCTGTGTAAGTGTCCTGAGATTTAGGTGATGGTGTTATTATTCTCACTTTGCAAATGATGAGACTGAGCACAGAGAGTTAAGTGCATTTGTTCAAGGTCATAATAGAGCTAGAATGTGATGGCACTGGGATTTCAACACAAGGAGTCTAGTTCCAGAGGTCATGCTTCTCACTTCACATGTCGCTGAACTGATTTGCTAAAGTCTTTTTTTTTTTTTAGGGTTTTTAAAATTTGTTTTCATCAGTAAGATTAGCCTGTAATTTGATTTCCCTTACCTTTCTGGTCTTTTCTTGATAATCAAGGTTCTACTGGTCTCATAGAATGAGTTAGGTAGCATTGCCTCTTTTTCTGTTATTCAGAAAAGTTTGTGTAAGAGTAACAGTTTGTACCTTGAAACATTAGAGGAATCAACTGTAAAACCACCTGCGCTTGGAGGTTCTCTCCTGCTAGGGGCTGGGAGAGCTTTATTGATTTAGCAGTTTCAGTTGTTACAGGACTATTCAGGCACTTTATTTCTTCTTGAAATACCATTGATAAATTATAAATTTGCAGGCATTTGTTCATTTCCAAAGTTAACAAATTCATTGGTATAAAGGTTTTCCATGTGTTCTTTTATTATCTTTTTTGGTGTCTCCTAGATTTGTAGTTATAACCTCTTTCCTAAGCACTTCCTTGTGCATTTATTCTTGCTCTGTTTGATCTCATCAGATGTTTGCTGTTTTATTATTTTTCAAAAAACCAGCGTTTGGTTTTGTTGATTCTCATTATTCTCACATATCTTTTTCATTCATTTATGCTCTTTATCTTCTCATATTTGGAGGTAAGGGTTAATGTGTTGCTCTAACTTTTTATATAAAAATTCATTGCAAGTCAAGCATTTTTTTTAGTTTCAATATAAGTATTTCAGGCTTATACATTTTCTGCTAAAATTTCCCTCCTACTGCAAGTTTTACAATGCACTAAACATTTTTAGTTTTTAAAAATAATTTGGTATTTTTATGATCTTTCTTTTTGACCGAATTATTACAGAATTTTGTCTCTGTATTTTTTATTTCTCTTTAAATGGTAATGTTATTAAAAGAACTTGATCTGTATAAGATCTGTTCTTTGAAATCTACATGATTGCTTTATGGCCTATGCTGTTCCATTTTTAAATGTTCAATACACACTTGAGAAGACTGTGTTCCCAGTATTGGGAGCAAGCTTCTATATATGGAACTTGTTAACTGAGCTTTTCAAGTGTTATTTTTTATACGCACAGATACACATTAAGTATCGCAAAATCTTTACTTTGACCATTACATCTTGTATTCCTGTGTTCTTTATTCATTTGTAGAAACCAAGGTATCAGAATGTTAAATCAGCTGTTCCTTTGCAGTTAGCATGAGGAATTGAGACTATGAACAGAACACCATGCTCACAATAACTGTTCGAAAGTACTTTATTTCTTTTCATTTTATCCTAAGGTGAATAATTTTGGCTCCTCTTGACTTCATGATAGCAACTTTGACGGGCAAATTTGGTCCCTGGGTTGCAGAATTGGTAACTTATATTCTTTTTACGAAACTGTAGGAACTAGTCCAGGCTAGTGAGCGATTAAAAAACCAGTCCAAAGAGCTGAAAGACGCACACTGCCAGAGGAAGCTGGCCATGCAGGAGTTCATGGAGATCAATGAGCGGCTCACAGAATTGCACACCCAAAAACAGAAACTTGCTCGCCATGTCCGAGATAAGGAAGAAGAGGTGGACCTGGTGATGCAAAAGGTTGAAAGCTTAAGGCAAGAACTGCGCAGAACAGAAAGAGCCAAAAAAGAGGTTAGTAGTCAGGCGAAGTCTCCAGTGTCCGTTGTAGTGATGAAGCTGCTTTTTCAGACCAGTGAAATGCTGCGTGTTTCATTATTTCACTTTTGAAAAGGATTTTTTTTTTTTTAGTTTGGTAATATTGTTTAATGTGAATCTCAACATTCGTGTTATCTTCCTATTACAAGGTAAATGCCCATGGGGAACCCGTATAATTGGAAAGCAATTATAACGATAAATCTGCTTTTTTCACTTTATTTTAAAGCTGGAAGTTCATACAGAAGCTATAGCTGCCGAAGCGTCTAAAGACAGGAAATTGCGTGAACAGAGCGAACACTATTCTAAGCAACTGGAAAATGAGTTGGAGGGACTAAAGGTATCGTTTGATTTCATCTTTATGATCCGAATTAACTTTCTCTTCTTTAGGCTTAAATGGAGTGTTAGTTACGTGCTCTCTTGGTGTAGAGTAAAAATTAGCTACCTTCCCAACCTAGTGTTCTTAATTCTCATTTTTACCAGTAGAAGGCTGATACTGACTTTTCATTCTTGGTGGAAGGAAAGGAGGATGGTGTTTAGTGGGAAGAAAAAAACCTATGAGGAAGGAGTTCAAACATTTATGCAGGACTGCATACCTGGACAGGATCTACTGGTCGTATGCCTGGGGGGCATGGTTAGCTATGCAGCCCTCTGTCTTGTAAATGATCTGGGGGCAGCTCAGAGGTGGCTCTGTAGATACTTGGGTTAGGTGAGGTAGATCGCCGTGGGCATGGACTAACACATCTCAACAGAAGCGCTTAGCAGGGGAAATCTGTGCCCGCTCTAGAGAGCTGGACCACCTGGTTTCAGCCCCTAGCCTTGTCAGTTACTGGCCGTGTGATGCTGCACACAACATTGAACCTCATTGGGCCTTAACTTCCTCATCCGTAAAACCCTCCCTTACTTGTTGTGTGTAAGGAGTACCTACATATGTGTGTAAGTTGACTTACCATAATTGCTCTGTAATTATTACTATAATGATGTGTACTTCAAAGAGAGAGAATTGGGATTAAATGGACATCATATTTCTACAACACTGAATTATAACCTGAATGTGATATATACCTTTTCTCGACTCAAACCTTTGCCTATCCTATTTCTTCTGCCTTGTCTGTCAGCCCCACCTCCACCTGCTCCTTGTACAACCACGCCTAGTCCAGAGTCTCGTTCATCCAGCAGATGCGAGAATCAAGTTGAGTGTCATCTCAGGAAGTCTAAGTATTCCTTATTCTGGGCTGATACAGGATTCTGTTAATAACTTTAGCATGGCTCTTGCCCTGGCTGAATGGCTCGGTTGGCTGGTTGCAGCTTCGATTCCCAGCCAGGGCATCTACCTAAGTTGTGGGTTTGATCCCCGGGCAGAGCACGTACAGGAGACAACCAATGGATGTTTCACTCTCGTATTACTGATGTTTCTCTCTCTCTCTCTAAAGTCAATAAACATATCCTCTGGTGAGGATTAAACAAATGTACACTATATATTGAAAAAAAATCCACTATAAGTGGAGCTGTGCAATTCAGACCTGTGTGTTTGAGGGTTGGCTGTAGCTGCAAAAACTCGCAAACCAGTAACCTAACATTTAGCTCTTGGAACTAGAAAGAGAGGATGAAAGGAAACTCAAAACTAGCAGAAGGAAGGAACTAAAGATTACAGCAGAGTTTTAAAAATGAGAATAGAAAAATAATAATTAATGAAACCAAGTTGATTCCTTGAAAGAGCAACAAAATTGACAAACCTTTAGCTAGACTTACAGATAGAAGGACTAAACAAATAACATCAGGAATGAAAGTAGATACATCACTACCTGTCATCAGAAAGCAAAAGGATTTTAAGGTAATACTATGAATAGCTCTATGCCAGAAAAGTAAATACCCTAGATGGAACAGACAGATTCTGGAAGCACACAGGTTACCTACACTGACTCAAGACAACGTAGAAAATTTCAGCAGACCTGTAACAAGTGAAGAGATTAAATCCGTGATAGGAAAACTCCTGACAAAGGGAAGTCCAGCACCAAACGGCTTCATTGGTGACGTAAACCAAATATTTAAAGAAGAATGAACTCCGATTAGACTCTTCCAGATAAAACAGGAGTAGGGAGTGATTTCTAATTCATTCTGTAAGGCCACCCCCACTCTGATACCAAAGCCATATTAAAAACATAACACACACACACAAAGAAAATGATATACTAGTATTCCTAGATATAGATGCATAAATTCTCAGCAGAATACCAGTAAGCCAAATCCAAAACTTTATTAAAAGGATTACACACCATGAGAAAATGAGGGTGGCTCAATGTAAGGAAATAAATCAGTGTAGTGAATCACGTTAATAAACCTAAAGAAAAAATATCACCTGAATTGATGTGTATATGTCATTTCAGAAAAACCAACATCTTTTCATGATAGAAGCTCTCAGAAAACTAGGAATAGAAGTGAATGTACTCGATACGATAAAAGGCTTTTGTGAAAAACTCACAGCTAACATCATACTCATTGGTGAATGACTAAAAGTTTCTCCCAAAGATTAGGAATAAGATAAGGTTGCTCACTTTTACCACTGCTATTTAACATTATACCATAGATTCTCACCAGAGGCACTGGACAAGAAAAAAAATTGAGAGACATTAAAACTTGAAAGGGAGTAGTAAAACTATCTCTATTCACAAGTCACATTATTTTAAATATTTAAAAATCCCAGAGAATACTACTACTAGCTTCGAGTCTAGCCTCTAAGAAGCTTGGAAGTCTCCACTGTGTCCTAACAACAGGTAAGAACCTGAACGAATTGAGAAATCAACAACTCTTCTTAGATCTGTAAGAGAAATGATGTCACAGAAGAAACCGCTGCCCCCACATTGGAGAGACTGCAATGCAAACACAGAGAATCACAACTTAGCAGAGCAGAGGCCTTGGTGGCAGTCAGTGCCAGCGGAGGGGGACCTGAGCTGGAACGCTGGAACGGACAAAGAGCTGGAGGCACCCGTGTGAGTAAGACCAGGAGTGAAAGGCCAGGGGAGCCCAGGCATCAGGGACCCCCCTCCCCCGCCCCGCCCCAGTCTCTGCGTTTTCTCTCCCGGAGCTCTCTGAGGTTCGCACAGTGGGTGTCCGTGTGCTGACAGTAGGGGACCACTTCTACAGCACTCCGTTTTTCTTCACAAGGTCTGTCCTCGGGAAAGACTCTTCAACCAGAACCTAGCTGGTGGGGCTCTATCAGCACAGAACTGCCTTGAAGGAAGGGAAGTAACCTAATCACAGCCCACTCAAGCCGTCCTGTTCAAACTAACAAGAATGGAGGAGAAAAACTGGAGAAGTCCTCTGCAGTTCCTGGTCCAGAGGCACAGGCTCAATAAATCTGATCTCAGGACAGTCTACTACCACGTTACTAAAAGCCTGTTATAATGAAATACGCACAAAATGTACACGGGGGGAATTACACAACTCTGATGAAAGAAATCAAAGGAGAACTAAATAAGCGGAAAGAGATTCCACATTCACGGATAAGAGGCTCAGTGTCCTCTGATGTTAGTTCTTCCCATCTGTGGGTTTGACGCGTCCCAGGCAGAGTCCCAGCAGGTTCTTGTGTGGACGTCAGCGAACAGCCTCAAGTTTACTCAGAGGCGAACTCCCCCGAGTAGCCAGCACTGCCTTGAAGGAAGAGAACGTGGCCGGAAGACTGACGCTCCCTGACTTGAGGACTTAACGCTGAAGCTGCAGCAGTCAGGACCTCGCGGTCTGGGCAGAAACACGCACAGATAAAGCTCGATAAATCACCTTGGACGAAGGGGCACAGGCAGCGCCGTGTGGCAAAGGGTGTCTGTTCCACAAATGCTGCTAGAAAAATTCGGCATCCGCCTGAAACAAAAAAATCTAGACACATGCCTTGCACCCTTCTCAAAAATCAACTCAGAATGGATCCATGATACATGTAAAATCAAGATTATAGAACTCCCACAAGATAGTATAGGGAGAAAACCTTGCTAACCTTCAGTATGACGGTGACCTTTTCACATAGCATCGAAGGCACACGAAATCAAACAATTGGTGTGTTAGACTTCATTGGAATTTAGAATTTCTGTTCTGTGAAGGACGCTGCCAAGAGAATGGAAAGATGAGACATAGACTGTGAGAATACAGATGAAAAGACTGTCCCCCAAAATAGACGGAGGACTCTCAAAACTCGGCAGTAAGAAAACAAGCAAGAGCAACAGGGCTGCCAGATGGCCGCACAGTGATCGGCTGTGTTCCTGTATGCCGGCAGCGAGCAGTCCCCAGAGGGCGTTCGGGAAGCACTTCCCATTAATGATAGCAGCGAGAAGAGTAAGGTGCCTCAGGGCAACTGTGATCAAGAAGGTTCGAGACTGGTGTACTGAAAGTTACAAATTGCTGGGAAAAACAAAAGGAGACCTGAATGAGTATCATATCATGAGTGAGTTATTTCATGTATCATAATGTTTTCCAGATTCATCCATTCTGGAGCATGATCAGATATGCAGCTTCATCCCTTTCTGTGGTTGAAAGATAATCCATTGTGCGTACAAACCACATCTTGTTTCTCCATCTGTTGGTGGGCGCTTGGGTTGTTTCTGCCTGTTGGCTGCTGTAATACTGCGTCGGTGAACTCTGGTGTACAAGTAGCTGTTGGAGTCCCTGCTTACAGTTCTTTTGGAAATGGACCTAGAGTGAAATCGTGGTCATGTGGCGATCTATGTGTAGTCTTAAAGAACCACCAAGCTGTTTTCTTGCCCTTGCAAACACTTAAGTTCTTTTTTCTTTCCTTCTTTTTTCATTCTTTTAAGTTTTAGCCACCCTGGTGAATATAGAGTGGTATCTTGTGGTTTTAACTTCATTTCCCTAATGTTGCACATCTTTTTATGTGCCTATTGGCTGTTAATATATCTTCTTTGGAGAAATGTCTGTTCCAGTTTTTTGCCCATTTTTTTGATTGGGTCATAGGAGTTCTGTATACATTCTGGATATCAGACCCTTATCAGGTATTTGACTTGCAAGTAATTTCTTCCGTTATTTAGATTGTCTTTTCACTTTCTTAAAAATGTCCTTCGATGCAGTGCACTCAAGCTTTTTTGTGATGGGGCCCAGTGCATCCGAGTCAGGGTGTCGGCAGGGCCTCGGCATATAGAAGTGCCTCCTGCGTCCCTGCCTGGTCTTTGCTTCGAGTTCTCCCTGGGTGCATGACCTTGGGTTGTTTTAGGGCCCACTCTACTGACCTCATTTTTGGTTGATTAACTCTGTAAAGACTCTGTTTCTTTTTTTCCAGCCTTGTTGAGGTACAGTTGACAAATGAAAACTCGCTCTATTTAAGATGTAAAACATGATGTTTGGATATACGTATACATTATGGTTATTTACACCTCAGTCAAATTTCTTAATTTTCTTAGCAAATTTCAAGTACACAATACAGTTTTGTTAACTGTAGTCACCCTACTTTACCTTAGATCCTCAGAGCGGATGCATAGATGGGATTTCACACCCCCGCACCAGCGTTTGCCCATTCTCTCCCCGCCCCCTCACCCCCCGCTTCCCTAAGCATCAACCATTCTACTTTTTGCTTCCAGGAATTTGACTGTCTTAGATCCACATGCAAGTCATATAATGCAGTATTTTTATATAATGACCCTATGTTTAAATGTGATCATATTCTGAGGTACATACTGGTGGTTAATGCTTCTGCATGAATTTTGGAGGGAAAGTTCAACCTTTAACACATACTTTTCACTTATTATTACGTAATTGTCACAAACATAATCTTAATGATTACAAAAGAATATCCATTTATCTAGTTCTCTACTATTCAATATTTATTTATACTTTTACAATATTGTAATTACCATGGATACCATCATACAGTGCTTTTTCAGTATTGTTTTCTTAGAACAAATACCTAGAAATGAAGTAGTCAGATTGTTGTAAGTCCTTGATATATGCCACAAATATTTTAAAGTATGAGAGGTATTTCCTGCTTTATTAGTAGTTTATTAAGCATATTTTCTCTGTGAATTATCTCTTTAAATCATTTACCCATTTAATTGATAGTCCTAATTTTTAAATAAATTCATATAAACTCTTTGTATAGTAATAATTGTACTTATATTTTCTGCAACTATTTTATCACTTTCATTTGGCCTTTAACTTTGACCTTGTTTCTTTTTCAAATTATAGAAGATTTGTTTTTATTTCCTCAGTGGTTTTTTCTGTGACTTCAGTTGGTTTTTCCTTCTTTTTCAGAGTTTGCTAAGTATGTAATTCTGCTTTTTCCTGGATGTTTTTATTTTGTTTAAAAGTATTTAACTCCAGTTCCTTTGGAGTTTGTGTTGCTAAATGGTATGATGTGAGAATCATTTTGTTCTTCTATTGCTGGTGGTTCAGATGTTATTAGTCGCTGCCTTCCTTAGTGACTGAAGTTGTCTCATATATTGAATTAAATTATTTTGGGATAGAGATATATTACACTCATACTCTATTAAAGATTTGTAGTATGTTGCCCTGGCTGGTGTGACTCAGTGGATTGAGCACTGGCCTGTGGACTGAAAGGTCGCCAGTTCGATTCCCAGTCAGCGCACATGCCTGGGTTGAGGGCCAGGTCCCCAGTTGGGTGCATGAGAGAGACAACCAATAGCTGTTTCTCTTACACATCATGTTTCTTTCTCCCTCCCTTCCTGTCTTTCTAAAAATAAATAAAATCTTTTTAAAAACCCAAGATTTATAGTAGGTTTTAATATCTGAAAAGAATATTGTCCTCTCCCTCTCTTAATTCTTTTTCCTTTGCAGAATTTTTTGGTATTTTTGCCAGTTTGTTTTTGCCTATGTACTAGGAACATTTGTCTCCATCTTCCACCCCTGCACCACTTCCCACATTTTAAAAAATGCTTTACTAGATTTAAAAGGAAGATCATTTGAGAAATACTGAATATATGTCTTTTAACCTTCCCTTTAAAGAACTTGATATTTTCCCTGTATTGTTTCAAGTCTTCTTCTATTTTTTATAAAGACTTGTAGTTTTTTATACAATTCAGAAAAATTACTTACTGTTGTTATTCCTTGTATGTGTTTCTTAATTTCTAGTTATTTTTGTTTGATTGTTTTTCTGTTAACAGTGAGACTTCTTACTATTTTCTTACTGCTTATTCTACGGTCTGGACGTACTAATGGTTAGTGTTTATCTAATGTGGTTGTTTTACACCATCAACTCGAACATTCTCAGTGAATTAATTTGCATTTTCTGGGTGAACAACTATATTATATGATAATGATTTTATCGCTTTTTAAAGATGCTCATTTCTTACAACTAATATTTCACATGTTACTTGCTCAGATAATCTAAAAGCTAACATTAAATAGGGGAGATGATGGAAGACATCCTTTCCATTGTTCTTGTTCCTGAGTGTGTTGTGTGTACGTCTGGTGTTCTACCAGCGCCGTGTTGTCTGGTAACTTGACAGTGGACAGTGTTTAAGTTAGCAGAACCGCTGTGCTTCCATTTTGCTTTGATTCCTTGTGGGACTGGGAGCAGCGTTTGGAGTGGGTGTTGGATTTTGTTGTGGACTCTTAGGCAGGGGTACCTACTGAGATTGTCGTGTGGTTTTGTTTTAATTTAACTTGTGGAAATAAAGCATTTTTTGCACACTAACTCGTACATTTGCTAATATTGAATTACTTTAAATACCTACAGTAAAACCTATTTTGCCGAATATTGTTCTTTTGAACATAAGGTTTCATTTTGTCAGCATTTAATTTGGCTTTTTACATCCTTATCAATTAGTGACAAATCTATAACATTTTTAGGGTAATTTTTCTTTGGAATTTTTACTACATGCTGTTACTCTCCCAACAGCCAAACTACACTAACCAGAACAACAAACTAAAATTGTTCTTCAGGTGAAGAACATTTTTTAGTTAGGAAAATGAAAGAATAGTCAAGTGGTCCCCCTTCCCTGCAGGGGATTGGTTCCAGGACACCCAGCGGATGCCTGAGACTGGATGGTAGTGAACCCTATACGTACTGTATTTTTCTATACATTTATACCTGTGATAAAGTTTAATTTGTAAATTGGGCCCAGTAAGAGATTAACAGCAGTAACTGGTACTAAAAGAACAATTACAACACTGCACTGCACTGAAAGTTACGTGGACGTGGCCCCTCTCGGTGAGCACTGGGCTGCACGTGCCTTTCTCCTTCTCGCGATATGCGAGCTGGCACAGGGCCACGTGATGAGATGAAGGGAAGTGACTGAGTACCTCGATGTGGTGTGAGGCTGCTGTAAGGGTTACTTGAATGCGAGCACTGCGATACTTTGACCGCCGATCTGGTAACCGAGCCGGCGAAGTGACTAGGGACGGACAGTGCGTACAGCGTGCGAACGCTGGCTGAAGGGGTGATTCGAGTCCCAGTGGGACAGAGCAGGCTCAGGGTTTCATGCTGCTACTCAGAAATGCATGCGATTGAAAACTTCTGCACTGTTTGTTTCTGGGATTTTTCACTTAATATTGTAGGACTGCGGCTGGCCGCCACTACGAGTAACTGAAACCGTGGAGAGTGAAACCACGGATAAAGGGAGACTAGTGTGTAGATAAGTGGCCACGGCTGCAGATGTCACTTCAGGCGTTATTTTCATGCAGCTGCATGAGAGCCAGAATCTGACTTGATGTGGCTCTTCTCAGCTTTGGCAGGTCTTTGCACGCCAGGCTGCCTCCGAGGCTGCCAGACAGTCTGTGCTGTGCATCCGGCAGGCGCTTCCTGAGTAGTCGGTGGGCAGTGGTGGGATGGTGCAGTGGATACGCCAGGCACGTTTCTGAGGCCCACAATGATACTGTTGGGGTGTTTTTTTTTTTATTATTATATACCTCGGATGTGAAGGAGCTAGCATGGTGGGGTTTTTTTACTTTAAATCAACTATTGTTACCAGTGGTTCAGCCCTAATACCACCTTCAAAAAAGGACACATCTGCCAGAGCTTGGTTTCTTGTTGTCATTTATCATAAACCCATAGATTCTTGGGGTTTTAAAGTTTTATTATCAGTTACTTGGGAAAGTGGATCACAAAGCTCAGGAAATCTTGCAACCACAGTCTCTGTGCTTCTGTTTATCCTTTAGCCACGACCTGGAAGAAGCTTCAGACTCCAGGTTTTCCTTTTCCCCTTGTTACTGAGAGTGTATTTTAACCTAATTTCTAAAAAGATGGCTTTCAACCAAATTTCTTCTCCTTAATGCCTGCCCTACATGCAAGGAGACCTATTATTTTTTTCTAGAGTGAGTATGAAGGTGTTAGATTAGACCTTTGTCATTTTAAGTACCAGCAGAAAATACAGATATATAATCCTGGTGTGAAGAAGACTGTAACATATACAATAATAAAGGAATATACACTGAGGAAAAAAATTGTGGCATGTGGCAGACAAAGATTAATATCCTGAATAAAGAATTATGTTTATGTGATAATATACAAAAATAATGTTCAGCTATATGAACAGGTCCTTATATTACAGAAAGAAGTTACTTGTTGTTTTATTATTCTTATAGGTGAACTAATCTTTTGTTCTCTTACAGCAAAAACAAATTAGTTACTCACCAGGAGTATACAGCATAGAACATCAGCAAGAGATAACTAAACTAAAGACAGATTTGGAAAAGAAAAGTATCTTTTATGAAGAAGAATTATCTAAAAGAGAAGGAATACATGCAAATGAAATTAAAAACCTGAAGAAAGAACTACATGATTCAGAAGGCCAGCAACTTGCTTTGAACAAAGAAATTATGATTTTGAAAGACAAATTGGAAAAAAACAGGAGAGAGAGGTAAGAATCAAGTTACTTAAATATTTAGAAGTTAAATATTTATCGAATGCCTAGTATGTGCCAGGGCCTGGGGACACACAGGCAGTAAACACGTTGCAGTCCTCAAGACGGCCAGAGTCAAGGCGGCGAGCAGAACATGACAGTGCAGCAGAGCAGATGGGGAGGGAAGCGGGCTGTGTGGAGGGGCGCCGGAGCAGAGGCACAAAAGACGACTTCGGTGCTTCTGGGGTTTTTGGACAAAATGATTTGTGAGTTAAGGCCAGAGAAGTATATGGCTGTGGAACAGTGTCCAGGCGGAAGCAGCAGAACGTGCTGGGATCCAGCGGGTCAGGGGAGGGCGGCACCTTCAGGAAACAAAAGCTATTCATTGTAGCGAAAACATACAAAGAAGGATGAGAATGGTGAGGAATGAGGCTGGAAGGGAAGACAGAAGCACGCTGATGAAGGACTTTAAGGAACTTGGACTTTAGTCAAAGGCCATGGCAGGAAAAGGGCACGATTGTATTTACATGTTTAGAAGATCTCTCTGGCACCCAGGTGGAGAATGGGTTGGCAGGGGCAGAGAGAGACCGGAGTCCAGCTGTGCGAGACCAGGCGGCGGGACTGCAGGCAGTGGGGTGAGGGCGGAGGGAAGTGTGCAGGTTCCCAGGGTCCCCTGAGAATCCAGAACTGAGAGGACGTAACAGCCAGATGTGAGAAACGAGGAACAGGAGGAACTGCCAGTGATGCCCAGGTTTCTGAATCTTAGAGCGAATGTATGTTATTATCATGCTCAACCTATATTAGAACCTGAGTTTATTCAGCTTGGCGCATAGACTCAACAAGAGTGTTTTAGAACCTACCACGTGTAAGTCACTGGGAACAGACAAAAGCATCTCTGTGCTTATAGAGCTTTCCTTTGGTTGTGGTGAAAGACCACAAACAGTAAGTAACATAGCAAACATATTAGGTAATGATAAATGTCGAGAACAAAAAATAAGGCAGAGGGTGTGAGCTATGAAGTGTTAAGGGGAAGGATTTAGTTTTATCCGTAGGATGGCCAGGGAAAATTGTACTGAGAAGGTGACTTCTCAGTGGGGACTGAAGACGGTGGGAGAGGTACCACTAGAGACGTGTGGGAGGGACATTCCACGTGGAGAACAAGTCTGTTAATAAAAATATGACAGGAAGGCAAAGTTACGGAGATAGTGAAAAGGTCAGTGGTTGCCAGAGGCTGGGGGAGGGCAGGATGAACCCGCAGAGCACAGAGGATTTTTAGGGCAGTGAAACTACTGTGTTCGGTGCTATAATAGTGGATCCATGTCAATATACGTTTGCCTGGGCCCTAAGAATGTGCGACACCAATAGCGACCCCTGTGGTGAACTGTGGAATTTGATGATGACGGACAGTGCTGGTGTAGGCTCATTGTCACACAGGTACCACTCTGCTGAGGGATCTTGGTAGTGGGGGTCAGTGCTTGTGTGGGGGCGGGGGATATCTGTGACATTTTTGTACCTTCCTCCCAATGTTGCTGTGAACCTGACTGCTCTAAACATAAAGTTTATTTAAAAGTAATATAATAAGGAGGTCCATGTGGCTGAAGTAGAGTTAAGGGGAAAGAATGGCCGGAGCTGAGCATGACGAGCAGCGGGGGCCAGGCTTTGGGAGTCACGTTCAGTTGGCTTCCAGTTATTTATTCTGAGTAAAACCATTGAAGAGAGGCGCGACAGGGTGTTGGGCAGAAAATTGACAAATACTGACTTGTATTCCAACAGAACGGCTTCTGACTACTGTGGTAAGGATGGTCTGAATTAGATAAGAGAAAAAGCATGAAACCATTTAGAAAGCTATTGCAATAATCTGGGCAAAAGATGGCGACTCGGGCCTAGGGTGGTGGCAGAACTGGTGGTAAGAAATGTTTGAATTCCAGTCTCCTTTAAAGGGCAAGATAATGGTATTTGCTGATGGAATGGATATGGGGAGAGAAAAAAAAAAAAGAGGAGGAATCAAGAATGATACCACGGTTTTTGGCCTCAGCTGTTAGGAGAACACAGAGAGGAAGATGATGGGAGAAGCAAGTTTGGGTTTGGGAGTATTATCAGGAGCTCTTTTTGAACAACTTGTGTTTGAGAAGCTTATTAGACATGCAGGTGGGGATGTCAGGTGGGCCATGGTGTAGGGCAGCCTGGATTTCAGGGCTAGAAATAACGTTCTGGGAGTGTTTACCACTCTGTGCTGCCTAGACTGGTGGGACAGTATGCGGTCACTTAGTGAGCGAGTGTGGATGGGAGAGAGACTCCGGGCCTGGGCCCTGGGCCCTCCAGTCTCGGGAGCTGGGGCATGAGGGAGGAGGAACAGCAGAGAGAGAGAGCGAGCAGGAGGAAGGGCGGGCGGGTTGGGTGTCCTGGAAGCCACGTGATGAAAACACGTCAAACCTGCCTTCATGTCAAACGAGATCATGTCTTTACCCAATTAAATGAGGCCCAAGTGATGGCAATGGAGTTTAACAGTGAAGGTCACTGGTGACTTCGGTGCAAACAATTTCAGGGGAACAGGCGGGGCGAAACCCCACCGTGCAGTCCGAAGACTTGAAGGAGGGTGACTGGAGACAGAGTGTAGATCACGCTGTTACTACTTGGAGTCTTACAAAAAGCAAGCAGTGCAGTGAGGTAGTGGCTGGAGGAGAAAATTACCTCAAAAGAAGTTACCTTGCTTTTTGTTTTTGTTTTTAGGTGGGAGAAGTAACACCAGGCTTGTAATCTGATAGAGAATTACTCGGTAGATGACTCGGGAGAGAGAGGAGCAAAGTGCCAGAGCAGGGTACTCGCGCAGGGAGACAGGCGCAGGGGCTTGGCCCCGGTTCCGCCTGTAGTCCGAGAAGGGAAAGCAGAGTGTGCGGGCGCGTCTTCTGTGCTGAGCTCTCTTAGTTGGGTGTGCTGAACTTGACGGGCCCGGGGGACATCTTTGTGCAGATGGCACATCAGCAGTTGGAAGCCCAGACAAGCTTCAGGTGTCGATTCAGAGCTTGTCCGCATAATAGACAGTCATTGAACTCAGTAGTGTAGTAGCAGAGGCAGCTCAGGGAAAACGTGAGCACCTGAGACCACACACCGAGGAGCATTAGCACCTGTCAGGAGAGTGTGGCGTCACCGCAGCCAAGAGAAGAGGACACTTGGGGAGGAGGAGTGGACGGTGCTGGCAGAGGCAGCCAGCAGGTTGGATGTAGTAACAGGACAGTGGTGAGCATTGCGAGAGTGGTGGTGTTGAGGAGGTGGCAGCAGAGGCCAGATTTTGGTGTGGTGAGGGGCGCTTAGGTACACAGACAGACCTTTCAGGGTTTCAGGATGGTTGCCAGTGAGTGAGAAGATGAGAAAAGTGGACAATGAAATGTGACATAGGGTTTTTGGGAGAGTCTGCTTGTTTTAATATGGAAGAGACTCAAGTTTTGTTTCATGCAAATAGGAAAAAACAGTGGTTCTATGTGGAAATTTTACTTAATTGATTTGAATACATATTTTCTGAAGGAAGTCTCTTTTGTAACTTTTCATGTTTTGTTGTTGTTTTGAGTTGCTACTGAAAAGAAAGATTCTTAGACACAACTAAATTTACGTTGTGACGATAGATAATAAGGAAAGTGGCACGTTTGCTGGGACGCAGGATGGCTTGTTTTCCTGGAGTTGATTATTTAAATTATAAGTAATTTATTGGTGCAAGGGATTTTTAAGATGACTTTTTTAAAACCAAAATTATGTTTTGTTGAGCCATATAAAATTAGCCACAACTGATCCACGTTGAATTTCACTTGCTGCCAGCTAGCGTCCTCCCTCCGACTGCTGCAGATGCAAGCGAGTCTCCTCCCCTGCATCTTTGTACCTCATCACTCAAAACTGACTCCCCCCTCCTTTTTGTAAAAGTCTGTGAGAACTGTGTCTGCCTCTGAGCGTAGACATTTCAGCCCCCAGAACTATCATTTTACTTAAGTTTTATAATATTAACTTGTGTATATATGTATGGGTATGTAGGTAGGTACTTAGGTGAGCGAAGGAAGGGCCGAGTGTGCTGAAGGGCTGCTGGAAACGTGATCGTGAACTTCCTGAGCTCAGAGGAGCTGAGGCGAGGACTCGTGCTGTGTCTCGTAAACACGCTTTCCCGGCCTCCTCACCTCCCTGCACTTTCTCATGCACGTGTAACCAGATAGGGGACCACAGCCCAGAGGCCCACAGAGCGCAGGTGCCTCCCCCAGATTTTCAAATGGAAAACAAAGCAGATGTTGTTAAGAGGACAAGTGTATTGATTATTTAAAAGAAAATGATTGTTAACTTTAAGGGAAAGGATTGGGGTTTGTATCAGTCAAGACCTAAATGGCTTTTCAGGATAAAGCATGTGGTGCAAATCTGGGACACCGTAATTTTACCTTTAATTTCCGTCCTTTTTTTTTTCCTTTTATGTTTCAAATTGTGTTAGCCAAAGTGAAAGAGAAGAATTTGAAAATGAGTTCAAACAGCAGTATGAACGAGAAAAGGTGTTACTAACTGAAGAAAATAAAAAACTGACCAGTGAACTTGATAAGGTGAGCCATTCATTCTCATTTATACGCACTGAGCACGTGCTGGCTGTCCAGCCCTGTGTAGAAACTGGGGCTGTAATGTTGTGTTTGGTGCACGTGTTTCGTTTAATGTTGCTCTTTCCATGCAAGGGTCGCTTGTCGGGACAGGCGCTTTCTCCTTATGCCAGTCTGTGCAGGAGTCTCTGGAGAGAAGATTTCGCTTATCTTATTCTTTGTCCCATTTATTTGTTTGAGCCTCTATTCTGTACTTCACTTTCCATCTCTTCTCTCTGTTACGCTTTACCTCGCACAGCTAAGTTAAGGCTGGCCCTTGGCAAGAGCAGGAACGGTTAGGCCAAACTAGAGAAGTTTTGACAATGGTACTGACACATTCATGATGGAGAATTGATAATAGCTAGACATAGTATAGTTGGTCTGTGAGAATCCAAAGAAACCAGCACTGCCTAAACTCTGTAGCTGGAATAAAGAGCAGAACCATAGATTAAGTTCATAAGTAGCCAGATTGATGAACAAAATTTCAAATGCTTGAAGGAATTTTTCTATTTAGTCTATCAGATTTCTTGAATGGTTATCATTCTGCATTTCTTAAGCCAGCTCTTAACAGTTGTAAAAATCCTAATATTAACCAGAAGTTTTAATAATTTTATTTACACTTAAATAGGGTTTGGGTAATTGTGTTTTATAATAATTTCTAGGATTTTCCTCCAGTTAAAAGTATTATGTTCAATTATTAATAATTCCAATAACAGATTGAAAGACCATGGTTAAATAATCATAAAAAAGAGTCTCTTCATTCTATCTGTTTTCCATTGTGTCCTGTATACCTTCCCATTTCTTTTAGTACTTTGCTCAGGGTTAGTTTTCTAAGCACTTAAAATTGACTGCTTGTTTGGTTGCAAACTACTTGAGAAAGAGTTCTGCTAGTTCATCTTGTCGAGTTTTATAGAGCCCATGTACACAGGCGCTGGCAAATGGCCAAAGTAGTGCCGGTGGATTTTTCCGGCTGTAAGTCATGTAAGAGTCGTGTGTGTCCTGTGACTCTCAGCTCCGGCCGCTGAAACCAACAGTATTTGAACTTTATACAAATAGGTCACGTCATTGTTATTTCCTGTGTTTGACTAATGACTACAGAATTAATCATTATTATATAAAAGGCATAATTTTAAGATTCTGTTAAGAGTTACCTTGAGGTAAGAAAAATAATTAAACTCTAGAAGTCGAATTCATGTGGAATTTTTAAGCAAATTACCGAGCAGAAGTGTTGCAGGAATTAGGGAAGACACTGCATCTGCAAAAAATATTCTCACACCAGCTGGTAGACTTCTGGCTATGGTAACATGAAGAAATTGGTCAATCTTCTCAAGAAAAAAAAAGTTTGAAAGTGGACACTTGTCCAAAACAACCATTTCACAGCTCTTGGAATTAACCAGAGAAAGACAACTACAAAACATCGCTGAGCTACGTTAAGGCTTACCCGTGGAGACCCACGCCATGCTAATGGGCTGGGCTCATCTCCGCCCCATTCCTCTCTGTGGGATCTTGGTCAGGCAAGCCGTGGCTCTCTGCCTGTCTCCCCAACACCTCCCCACAGTTGCATATAGGAAGTATTCCTATAGTAATAAGAAAAAAATGTTAATAGGAACCTATAAATAAGAGACTTGAAAAATGCAACACCCGAATTAAGCTATGTTTACTCTTGGTGTAATGATTCAACTTAACAAAGTTTTCTGATATTTTGAGATAACTGGAAATTTGAACAGTTACTACCTATGTGAAGATATCAGGAACTTGTTAAATGTGTTAAGTGTGATCGTATTATAGTTATATTTAAAGAGAGCCCATTTTCTAGAGATGTCTATACATAGAAATTTATATAGATAACATAATACCATGTCTGGTATTGCTTTAGAATAATACAGGAGGATGAGCAAGAAGACAGGAGTACGAAGAATTAACACGGGCATTGTGGTGATAATTGTTGAGGGTGGGTAGTGGGCTCGTCCATTCTTACATATGCTTAAAATTCTTTATAATTTTTTTAAAGAGGTGACATAGAGATGTTTTCAGACAAAATATGAGAGATATTGTTACCAGTAGAACTGGGGAGTTTTTCCAGCAAATGGAGAATATTCACAAATGGAACTGATCCAGTGTGGGAGTAAGGAAGAAACAGCAAAGGCGGAAGGAGAATTTAGGGAGTACTTGATGTTTCCAAATCAGTGACCAGAAGGAACAGGGTGAACTTAAGATGTAACAAGAGGCATCTGCGCACCTGAGCTGCTGTTTCTAAAAATCACGTGTGCCTCGAAACTGCCTTTCAGCTCACCACCCTGTACGAGAACTTAGGCGTGCGCAACCAGCAGCTGGAAGAAGAGGTGAAAGACCTGGCAGACAAGAAAGAGTCCGTGGCACATTGGGAAGCCCAGATCACAGAAATAATTCAGTGGTGAGTTCTCGTTTAAGTGCGTTTTTGTGGGTGACTTTGCACACACGCTCAAGTTGGTATGAATTCCAGGAGGCGACTAACAAGTTACCTTCTTTTTTGCTGTGAAAAAGTTACTGTAAAGGCAGTTTTATTACTGATACGTTATTTATTACTGATCTTCATTCTACTGTGTTTTCCATTATGTTCCGTAACTCCCGGCAGACACCCCGTGAGCTTTTACACAGCAGCACTGAAACCTGGTATTTCTTTCTAAGGAACGAAGAAACTGCTTTTCTCTCCTAAGACTATTTAGTAGTCCTTAAAGAACAGGAGAAAGTCATTCACTAGCTATAGATGTTTCTTTCTGAGATCCAAATTTCTGTGTTCGTGATTGTTTTAGGAACCAGAAGTCGAGGAGAACCACTGGTACAAGGGAGATGTGCTGCTGTCGCTTCCTTTCGTGATTGTGACACATGGGTTCACACAGGGCTTTCTAACGCCCTACGTGGTCACAGTGTAGTTTTATCGACTGTTCCGTGAATTACGCTCTTTGGATTTAATGTGGAATAATTACTTCAGTAACCTTCCTATTAATTTATTCATTAAAATGATTCTGATATTTGTAAAAATTGGTATATTTTTATAATACATGAAGAAAGTGGGATCCAATGGGGACTTTGTTTTCTAACGAAAACATTTTAACTTTTTATATTTACTTTCTAAGTTTTTTACTTTTTGGCAAATCATGGCTGTTTATTTGAAAAAAATTGTTTCTTCATATATTTATAGACTGATCCTTTAGAGGAAATTTTAGTTTCTTGTGCTCTTATTTTGGTTCTTTACACACTTTTTTTCCATTTTCCTTATAATAGCCCTCTTCTTAAAATAAAAAACAAATAAACACTGTCTTTTTAAGAAATCTTAACCAAATGACTCAAGTATCTTGATCTTGGCTTAAATGTAGAGCTGTTATATTAACTCATCTTGGGCTTAATAATGTGACTACTCAATGACGAAATAGCTACATTTCCACTGTGGAAATGTTATGTTCTAATCAGTACAGTTAAACAGTTCGTTAATGTTTAATTTCCACATGTCATCATATCTACATTTCTGAAGCAAAATCATTTTTACTTTAGCCAAGTTTATATAAAAATTAGGACTATTTATATGTAACTCCCTTATTAAGTAATCAAATTTATAGTTAAGGAATTGCTGAAAATGACTTCATAGAAGACAAGCCCGGTCTGAGCAGAGCCAGAGCTCCCAGACCACTGGCCCTTTCCAGTGGCCGGCCTGTGGGCCCAGGTGGGGTGGCAGGGGTCCTGGCCAAGGGAGCAGCTTGAAATGTGGGCTCTCTGGAAAGGGTCGGAGACAGGACGAAAATGAAAGTTTTTATGTGATTCCAGAAAATACTCATTTTACATTTTTCGTACTCAAGAGAAATATGCAGAAATCAGGAATATAAGGAAGTCACTTTGCTTAAAAGCTGTTATTTAGAAATGGTCTTGTATTAGATAAATTATTAAATGTTTAATAGGCTAAAAGAAAAATAGGCACTCCCTGTTTTCAGAGTTCTCACCTACTTGAAAATTATCTCTCTGAGATATTCTGTCCAAGCTTAAAGGTCAAGAGTCTCCGGCTATTTACATTTTTTTAGTGTGGTATATTAAAAATAAAGTAGTGCCAAAAGAAAGCTTTGGAAACTTATAACATGCAGTAACCCCCACTTATCTGCAATTTTGCTTCCCATGTTTCACTTACCCGTGGTCAACTGCAGTCTGAAACTTAATGGGAAATTACAGAAGTGAACAATTCCTAAGCTGTAAACGGGGCGCTGCTCTGCACCAAGCGATGACACCTTCACATGCGCTGCTCTGCTCCACCCGTCTGGGACAGGAATCATCCCTCGACTGCTCAGGAGCCTGAGCCTAAAGATGCTTAAGCCAGGCCCAAGATTTGCATTCGTATCCTGTGTGCATCACAGATACATAGGAACTTTCCTGAGATACGCTTTCCTCATAGCTGTTTAATGGCCTGAATTTTACCTTTGAAAACAACCAGCCTGCACAAAGCAAATACTCTTCCACAAAGTATATTAGAATACACTTCTGCGCATTGCAGATTTCAGCTTTCTTCTGTGTGGCATTACAGCTTTCCGCATACAGATGATTCTCATTGGTGAGAACAGGATCTTCAGTAGGTTTTCCCATGCTGGCGCTCCCTGCTCCTGGTCTTCCCCTTGTTTTGGAAGAGATCTAACAAAAAGCAAACTTTCTCTTGTGAAATTCTAGTGTGTGGAATTTGTTTTACTGAGTATGATTTGAAGACATTTCTGTCTAAAATCATAATGGTTGCACCAGCAAGATGGTCTTAAGACAGTAAATAGAAACTGAGTTTCAATAAACTTTTCTCTTGATTACTTACCATTTTAGAAAACAGAAAGCTTTATTACAGTATAACTTAGAGTTTTGCAGAATATGCTATTTTAAACTAAACTTTCTAAATATAGCTTACTTAAGTTTTAAGAAGGGTGTGCTATGTATTTATAACATAAACTGGCAGAATCTAACTAATGAGAAATCTTAATACTCTTTGGAAATCATGAGGGGGGAGTTTAATGTTAGATAAGAGGGTATTCTGTGGTTCGTGGGTGAAGTTTTACTAATTTATCAGATATAACTCATTTGGACTTTTTTAAACATGGCCAGCTTTAATTTGTACATAACTAAACAATTCAATGAACCTCTTCTAGTTCTTGAGAGAGAGTAGTATTGGGTTGGCCAAAAAGACCATTTAGAGTTTTTTTGTGAAATAAAAGACACATTTTTCATTTTTGCCATTGACTTTATCGATTTGGGTATTTTGAGTACATCAGCTCTCTCCTGCTATTGGCTTCTAGTGGGTAGAGGCCAGGGGTGCTGCTAAACATCTTCTAGTGCTTACGACAGCCCCATAGCAAAGAATTATTTGGCCAAAATGTCAATAGTACCAAGTGCAGACCACTTTTGACTCATTTGATCAGTCACAGCACCTTCTCCATATACTGCACAAATCTTTGTGTTTCAGTTGCATTTTTACCTTTCTTGAAATAATAAAGCTTAATACACTGAAAATGTTGTGTATTGTCTTCCATCTTCAATATTAAAATGACTGCACAACAATTCACCAATTTTAAGTTTTTAAATGCACACTGAGATGACAGCCGTCACAGTACAGTCTAACGAAATTGTTTTGAATGAAGTTAAAGACAACTAGGTACTACCAGAGCCATCATATGGAAAAAACTAAACGATCTTTTTGGCCAACCCAATTCTATGGTAGAACTTTTAGAAGAAGGTATTTGAGAACATCTTTAAATTTCTCTCACTTTTAGCTTATTTCTTTATGATGCTTTAAAATAATGTGTATCTCACTGAAATTTTTCTTTTTGTTTTACTTTTGTACCTTATCTCTGCCCTTACGTATGTGTATTTTAGGGTCAGTGATGAAAAGGATGCACGAGGGTATCTTCAGGCCTTGGCTTCTAAAATGACTGAAGAGTTGGAAGCGTTAAGGAACTCCAGCTTGGGCACACGAGCCACGGTAAGCTGCCATTCTGCACAGAGACTTGTCGTAACGGGGGTGGGGGAGGCACAGAAATGCTACAGCCAGTCTGAGTGCCTACATCTGTTTGTCCAGGCTTTAGCCTTGCGTAAAGTTTCACATGAGAAATCAGTTCAAGTGTTTTCCAGGTTATGGAATTATAACACATAGCTGCTTAGCTGTAATTTGTATGGCTAGCTATTATTGGTAGTAACTATAAGAAATAAACTAATTTATATGTGGGTCTACAGTGATTTCTGAATTTAATGAAAAATATATTTTTACAAGCAGTGTTTTTATTCTGTTTTGTTATCAGAGAAAGATAATGCTTTTAAGTAGTTTCCCATTTCACTTGGATTACTAAATTTAACATAAAAATAGACTTGAGCTAAAAAGTCATATTATTTTGTAGGACATGCCCTGGAAAATGCGTCGTTTTGCGAAGCTGGACATGTCCGCTCGACTGGAGTTGCAGTCAGCCCTGGACGCAGAAATAAGGGCCAAGCAGGCCATCCAGGAGGAGCTGAACAAAGTGAAGGCGTCCAACATCATAACGGAATGGTGAGGCCGGCTCCCACGGTCCCTCCCGCGGGGCCATGCCTGCCGTGGGTCCCACGGGTTCACAGAGAAGTTACATGTTCAGTTTCCTGTCGCATTTTTCTTAAAAGCGGTGACCAGAGAAAATTATGAAGAGTTGAAAATGACCAGATGCTTTCAAACCTTTCATGCAGTGAAGGGGTTGTAACCGAGCCTCGTTGCCCTTGGCGTGTCCGTAAAGTGGAATTAATAGTACTAATTAGTATTCTGTTGTTCACCTTTCCCTGAATTTGTAAGATTTAGTTGACTCTCAGAGTCTATTCCATTAAAACCTCACTTCACTCATTTTCAAGAATATATATTAGTGAGAAAATGCAACATGTAGTCAAAAGCAAAATACAGTCATCTGAAAATTCTGACCTATACCATAAATCTTGTAGAAATGAAAATTCTGTTATGGTAAATTTCATAATGGTATAATATATTTTTGTTGTTTATGTTCTTTTATGTGTAAAATATATAAATAAAATATACATCATAATCTCTGGGAAAGTTAGCTAATGAATACGTTCCCTAAATTCTTAATACAACAGTAGAGCAAATTACAACCTGAATAAATGAGAAAATGCAAATCGTAATTGGATTAGATATAAACTTGGTTCAAGAACAAGTTAGTGTAGGTGACATAGAGGAAAAATAAGAAGTTCGTGCTGCAAATAAAAACTAAAAAATTATCTTAGTGGTCAGAATACCCGAAGTGCCAGAGGTGTTCAGTCATAAAAAGAAATATAGTCCCATAAATTCAATTTTGAATAGTGTGAAGCCTTAGTCTTTAAACTGTAGTCTTTAATGTTTAATCAAATCAGAGGCTGGATACATGGCAGCCCAGTTGAATTATAAATTTTTGTTATAAATAATCTAGACAGAAATTAAGTACACTTTACTTAAATGTGCTCGTGTGGTATGAAAATGGGGAAAAAAACCCAACTTCTTTTGGAGAATGTGAATTGGATCCCAGCATAAAGAATGTCGTTCTGTGTCGTAATTTAGAACAACTCTGATTTTCTCCTTATGCCCAAGACGTGTGACTCTGTTCATAATCAGGGACGTGAGTCAAGCTGAAAATCAGAAACACATATGCTCTACTTTCGTGTTTCTCTATGAAAGAAATTAACAATTCTAAAGTCAATTTTTGATTCTGTGACATTTTTTAATTTAATAATTTAGCTCAGGGCCAGCAACTTTTGCTATCAAAGTCCAGCTAGTGAATATTTTTGGACCATGTCATCTCTGTCTACTCGACTCTGTTGTCACGCCAAACAGAGTGCACAGCCCAGCGAGCCTGGCTGTGTTCCAGTGGGCTTCACTGACCCAAGCGTAGACCACAGGCCCTGGCGGGGTAGCGCAGTCGGGTAGAGCAGCGTCCCAATCGGCCAAGGGTGTGGGTTCCATCCCCGATCGGGGCACAGACGAGGGTCAGCCAATGAATGCATAAATAAGTGAAACAACAAATTGATGTCTCTCACTATCTCCCTTTCTCTCTCTTTCTAAAACCAATCAGTAAAAAAAAAAAAACTCTAAAGAAAAAGTGCATGATAGCCTAGATTTGCTCTTCCTTATAGTTTGTCTTTCCCTAATTTAGCATGACTGACATTTGAGCCAAGTAAGTCCATCCAAATAATGATGGCTCACCAACCAGCAGCAAAAATAACAACATTTTTCCTTTTCTTCCCCTTGTTTAAGTAAACTAAAAGATTCGGAGAAGAAGAACCTGGAACTACTCTCAGAAATCGAACAACTGATAAAGGACACAGAGGAGCTTAGATCTGAAAAGGGTATGGGAATGTTTTTGCATCGATCAGAACTTAATATTCTGTTGTGAATGCATGTTATTACACAAGAAGAAGCTTATTGTGGAGGTGGAAGAATTGTTTGACTCAGCAGTTCTGGCATCCATTTATGTCATGTGTGGGTGTGAGACACACACACACACACACACACACACACACACACATTTGGTAGATGGGCATTTGAGTCCTTTTGTTTTTACTTAAGATATGTTGTTTAAAGATTTGATTATAACAGAAGAACTCCTTTGCCATACCTTTAACTCTTTTTTCAGTGCCATGGACTATTTCATGAGTAAAATTTCTATGATCTGAAAAAAATTTTTTTTCCAGTGTAAATATACTTTATACTTACTATTCTCTATACTTTTTTCAGTACAAATATACTTTATACTTAACTATTCTCACATGATGTAGGGGATTCACTTCCAGGGCTGTTAAGGAAACAATGAATGAAGTAGCTAAAGCTTAATCTAATCCAGTATTATAAGAGCAATTCAAAGATAAAGAATTATTTTGGCATTTCAGTGTCTTCCAAGTTTGATTCTTAAATTGCTTGTCCTGTGAATTACCCAGGATCTGTTCCCATTTTCCTGAAAACATTACTTAAGCATTTTTTTCCCGTTAATGTGAAGAGCAACTCAGGAATGCTTGGTAGCTTTATTACATGAACTTAAACTTTCTTCCCATAGCGTGAGCATTAATAAGGTAAAAATTTAATAAAAAGAAATTCAGAATGTTTTGTGAATGAAGGGATCTGTCGTACGCAGTTATGAGAAGGCCGCTTTCCCAACAAAGTCAGTAGCCCTGCCTGAACACTCCCCCAGTTAGTGGGCCTTGCGCTACGCTGGCCTGCTTCCCTGCGTTACCCACCCCGACCCCGCGACATGCACTGGCGCAGAGCCGGTTAGGTCTCAGCATCTGCTGCGAAAGTGCGGAAGAAAGAAGGTAATCACATAAAGGAATTAACGTGGAAGAGCCATTATAGGCAGTAGATGTGCAGTAGATATTTGTTGACTGAAGGGCCTGGGGGATAAGAAAAGAAGGAGCCCTGAGAAAGTGCATTGGGAACGCAGATTAGGAACACAAGGCATCGAGAAGTGCGAGTCAGGCAGGGCTTCATACAGCAAGAGTGGAAGGGAGCTGAGTTACTTAGTGCGTGAAGGAGAAAGAATAGGAGACGAGAAGGACTAGCGGCCCTGAGACAGTTTATGTGGAAGGAGACAGTGCAGAGTGTGACTTACAGTACCCAGCTGACATTGGCTGTAGCATTTTAGAATAGACCTGAACTTGTGAAAGAAAAATGAATCACATTGTTCTCTTTTGAAAAGATGTTAACCCATAACTTTTGGTTTTGATTTTGAACTTGTAGAATATAACATGTTGCTATATGTGGTAACATAATATACTACTTTAATATAATGCGATATTTACACAATGAGGACAAGGTTCTTCTTTTTCTGCTCTATTTATTATTATATTCCCAGTATCTAGACGGACTGCATGTAATAGGTTCTCAATAAATAGAGCCTGTTTAAATCTGTTGACTGAATGAATTCCTGAACATGCTGCCTTATCTGGCAACTGTGGTATATGATTAGAGAGTAATATGAAAGGCATGAAAACTAGTTGTTAGTTCTTGAGGATATGAAAACCCAAAATGTGTACTTGGTTATTTCTGCTTTTTCCTTTCTAGTATTTATCATTATACGTATATTTTAGGAATTATTTTGGAAATTATGCATTTAAAGTAAATACCGTAGCCAAGAGATATGCATGCATTCTGTCAATAAAACAATACCTGAACTCAGATATTAAAATCTGAGGCCTTAACAAAAGTTTTTTTTCATAACTAAATACATTTGTTTTATAATTGCATTATTTTCTTTAAAAAGATTATGTTAAGCATACTATGTGCTTGATAAGAGTATTTCAGTATGTTTTTTGGTATAAACTATCTTAGAAAAATCAGATGTATTCAGGGCTCTATGTTAAAATTCTCTCAGGACTACCAAAAGATTTCATGTGTTTATTTATAAGGTACTATATGGGAAAAGAAAGAAATTTAAGAACTCAAGTCAAGAAAGAAGTGTTTCGTGGAGAATGATATAATTTAACTATTAAATGATATTCTGAGAAACATTAGTATAATTTGTTTTTTTAAATATGTAGTGCTGATACTGACCAGCTTTAAAATATGTTAGTTTGCAAACAGCTTTTAATGGGTTTAGGCAGGAAAGGTTGTCCATGAAAATCCGTTTCACTTGTTCTAGTTTTAAGAAAAGTTGCTGCTGTCTTCTAGGTATAGAGCACCAAGACTCACAGCATTCTTTCTTGGCATTTTTGAATACGCCTACCGATGCTCTGGATCAATTTGAAGTAAGTATTAAGCTTTTCAAATATCCATTGAGGTCAATTTAAAAATCACCTTGTGATTTAAAATTCACTTGTAATAAAACTGTTTTATTGCATCCCACCTAAGAGGACCTAGACTCTTACATATTTAAAAACATAGTAGAAAAGGGGTATGTTCTGCTTTCTTATGTAAACTACAGTCACTTTTTATTTAAGAAAACATGTAAGAAAGGTCAGCAAGCGTGAGTGGTAAGACTTAAAAGCAGTTTTGCCTCTCCCCCGAGAAAACTGTGCGTGCTGAATAAATCCTGACTTTTGAAATAATTCGATGCTTCTTTTTTCCTCCAAAGCACAGAGTCGCAGTAGAAAGCCATTGGCAGTGTCAGAAGTTCACAGTAGGGCAATGCTCGTTCTAGTTCCAGACGAGTTCAGGTTTTTAGCAGTGTATCCCAGGAATGCTTTTTAAAAAAGGTGTTATATGGAATGTATTAGGCAGTTTCCATTTCAATGATATAACGATTATATGACCTTTTTTATCATTCCCTAATACTTAAATTCTTCACTTAAAAAAAGCACTTTATGATATAAAGTGTACTTTTGCCTCAGAAAATTTAAGTTAGTGATTATATCTTTAGTCAACAAGTACTTGTCGATCTCTGTGCAAGTCGCCATTGTAGTGCTGGAGATACTGCAGTGACCAGGTAGGCGCAGCCCCGCCCTCAGAGGGGGACAGTCAGCGGCAGAGACCGTCTCTTTCTGCTAGTCATTGCCTTCGAAGATGCTAACATTGAATTGGGTGATTGAGCTGCCATGCGCTCCATTTTATTACATTCTGGACACAGTGTATGAACTGTATTTCATTCCTTTGGGAATGGGAATAAGAATCACTCCTTAAAAAGTAATTAATGAATTTCTGAGTTTCTTGAGAAACAATGACAGTGACTGCTTTTTCATTTATTTGTTTGAATTAATGTCATTTGCCTTTTAATTGTTTTGCAAAATTTTTGATTTATTATTTGTTCTTACTGAATTGCTTCATCCATATTTTCTATTTTTTTATTGCTGTATTCGTTAAATAGGATTCCTTTTCTTCTTCCTCATCTTCACTGATTGATTTTTTGGATGACGTAAGTCTTTGATTTTCAAACCAATGCATCCTTCAGTAAAAGAGATCAGTGAATTGATATGAAGAATTTGCCTAATGCAGACAGTTTTAGAAATATCATACTTGATGATTTATTTGTGAGCCATAATTTGCTTATTTTTTATCTTAAATGTAATAAGAGTTTATCATTATGAAACATAATGGAGTAAACATGTATTTTGAAAAATTCTTTGGCCATCAAAGCATTTGTATGTTTGCATTCTTCACAGCAGTTCTGAAAACTGGAATGCTCATTTCATTATGGTCACAGTGTAGGTGTATATGTATAAAAGTAACTGCCCACTTTTGTTTGTCATGGTGGTTTCTATTTCACATTCCCCATCTGTTTTCAACACTTTAATTTCTCTGTTAATGAAAAGTAAGCCTCTCGTGGTATAAAGAGGAAATATGACAAGTTTTCTTGCAGTAGATTTTATAGTAACACAGTAATTGAGCACGAATCAATTTTTAATGCTGACAGAATTTCTCTTCTAATGTGGAAAAGTAACTTCAGTTCAATTTGTACTATATGCACCGTAAATTGACTACACGATCATTTTCTGCTAAATGCTATACATTTAATAAATTTGAAGTTCCCGATGTATGTCATTCATTCTCTTTGCAGAAACACTTGACATAGACAGTCTCTCCTGCATAAAATGGCATAATAATCATTGTCATAAAGCATTTTATTTGCATGTTAAACATTCAGTCTTTCCAGAAATTGGGAAATCAAATTGGTTCATATTCAAATATTGTACATAGAACAGTTTTTTTTAACCAGGGGAGATTCTTTAAATGTTTTATTTTTGCATTTTGTTCAATATAATTATTATATTCAGCAGAATATTTAGCATGATTTTCCACTAAAGGAAACTCTTTGATCTAGGCTTTTAAAAATTATTTTTAAAGTGCTATTTGATATCTTTGAAATATTTATACCAAAGTGTGCACCTTTGCCCTTTAAATGGAAACTATTTACTATTCTTAAGACAAGTAATTGTTCCAGTTAAGTGTGATAAAAAGAGAGCCCTTTTGATGTGCAACAGGATTGCTTGTTACAATCTGGTATCTGTTTTACTATCCGAAAATACCCACTATGGTGTTCCCGTGTAGCTGTCATTCACCTTTAAAAGAATAGGAAGTTCGAATAAATCATTTCAGTTCTTCCCACTAGAAAATCATTTTCATTTTTCCTTCTGACAAACTCCTCTACATCTCCTCTGCCCCACAGCAGTCTCTGAGGGTAAAACAGCAGCAGTGCGCACTTGGGAAATGGGGCAGCTCTTCTCAGCAGAAGGGCCTGCAGGAGGGCATGCAGACCTCAGCGGCCCCCGCCCTGTCTCCACTCTCAGCGCTGCCTTGCACCCCCACCCTCCCACCTGGACATAGTCACTGCTCCCCCCCCTCTCCCAGGAGCACCCTTTCCTGTCCTTCACCTGCAGCAGAACTTGTTCAGTGTGCGGCTAGGTGTTGACATGCTACAAAGGCCCTGTATTCCTAAGGAAAAAGTTGAGTTCACGGTGGCTGCTGAGTCTTGGTTGTTCAGGTTCCAGCTCTTCAAAGGCGTAGTTTTCCGTCATTTGCTCCCTAAGCTCTCTTCTCCCAGCTTATTTGTTAACAAGCGCGTAAATAGACTTGACTTCTGCCTTTGCTACTTTTTCTAGGTATGTGGTTTGGAGTGAATTACTTGACCTTTCTTTGCGCAGGGGAGAAATAGGGATAACAGTAGTACTCACCTCATGTGGTTGGTTGAGAACTTGCTTAAATGCACGTGATGTTCTCAGTAATACTGGTTACACTTCTCACTCTTCATAGGTCTCTTCCCCCTCCCTCCCTTCCTGCGGTCACTGTAGCTCCCTTCCTTGCCCATCAGGCCGGTTTCCCGTCAGAGCTTCCCACACTCCTCAGCACACTGCCCTCTGCTCCGCGCCCCTTGCTCAGCGTTGCTGGGTCACAGCACCCTGGGAAAGTGGGTTTCACCCGTCAGGGCAACGGCCAGCGAGCAGTGGGCTTCCAGTTAAAAAAAACATCTTGTATTCCTAATTTGTATTTTATGGCATAAAGCTCTTGTCTCTCTTCATAGTTTTATAACTACGACCGCCCTTTCCAGGACGATGGCGTTCAGTCTCTGGCACACTTGGGTTCAGCATCCAGGGTATTCAGTACAACAGTCTGCTCTGAGGATCCCTTTCTCTTAGGCATTTGAATTCTTAAGGAACAAAGCAAACCTTGATTGTTCTTTGTGCCCAAACTACTTAGGCTTCTGTGCTTGATGTGACGCTTGCAGCGCGTGCCTGTCCTCCAGAGGAAGTAGACTCTCACTGGTTACTGACCCGCAGGGCACATCCCCTTGGGTCACGCTTTTCTGTGTTCTGTCTCATGGACGTTGGAGACCTAACATGTTAATCACAGCTGAATCTTGCAGGTGTAGGAGGGGGCGAGGCTAGCATTAAGCAAAATTGCAGCAGTCCAGGTACTTCTGGTGCCCACACTTCTCTGACCTTCATCTGCTCCCGGTGGCCTCGCGCCCTCTGCCCGCCCTACGATTCTTCCTGGCTCCACGGCCCTCCTCCAGGCCAGCTGCTGCCCCCCTGGCCTCCCACTCCGGTCTGCTGAAGCCGTGATCCCTTTACTCGACCCAGCTCCCGTGTTTCCTCAGTGTGTTTTGCGTGTTAATTCCAAATTCAAATGATCCCTGGGATTTAGGGCAACATGGGAAGATGTTTGGAGCAAGATGTCTTTTTTTTTTTTTAAGTTACACCAAACAGTATAACTTTATAAAAGGGATGTTCAGACGTCTCTTTTCCGTGCGCAAGAGTAGCCTTGAGGAAACAGGAGTTCTGACCTTTGACACCCGCCCCTTCCTCCCCTCTGGTGTAGGCAGAGCAGGCGGAGTCCTCAGCGGCCTGTTTCTGCATGTCAGGGGGACCTAGGCCTGTGGGCTTCTGTGCATGCAGGAATCACAGGCCTTTGAAGGAGCCTTAGAAATTTAGTCCCACAGTTTCAACCACTGCTTGTCCCAACACTCCCCCGTTAGTGAGAGACTTCCTCAGGCTTTGGGGGAGTAGAGAACTAGTGGCGAAGGGTTTGTACATGACATTCTTCGTAGAGCACATCAAGGGGGCTGTAGTTCATTTTGAAAGGTAGGCAGTCCCTTGGGGAAGGCACTCCCGCAGGAGGTGTTAAGGCAGCAGTAAAATAGGCACTGGGGTCCCTTCTGCTTCGGAAACTCCTCTCTGCTCTGCCCTCGTCTTTGCTGTCAGTCCCCCGTGCCTGGGCCCAGACTGCCCCCCCACCACCACCTCGTACTCAGTTCTGCAGTCTGTTCGCTCAGGCCAGGGCTACCAAAGTGGACGTTGGCTGTTTCACAGACAAACGAGAACGTGTCAGCTTGCTCTTTGAAGGTCCTCTTCCTCTGTGTTCTGAGAAGAGAGTAAATGAAGGAAGTGAGGCTCTGAGGGTGAAGGCTGAGGGTGAAGGAGCAGAGACAGCACTCGCGGTCCAACCGTCTGGTCCCCGGCCTTGTTTTCTGTCCTTGAATTCTGTCGGATAAGCTGAGTTCTGCTCTTGGCTCTGGCCTCATACAAAATCTCACTACGATGTTCCAAGTGTTTCCTTTCAGTCTTGGCTCCTAGCTTCATTCATTCCTCTCTTGCTTTTAACATTGTTTCCTCCTGTGGCATCTTTCACACTCTGAACCAGTCACGGAAGTGCAGGCCTGGCAGCAGGCCTGGCAGCGTAGTGCCAGCTGTCTCTGGGGAGAGCTAGTCACATGTGAGAACCAGCGGAAGATTAAGTTTAAAATGTGCATTGTAAAGATGTTTTAACCCTAGGACCAAACATGGCCTAGATTCTTCTGAGAAATTATGTCATTCCTGAATTTCCTCCTTCAATTCTTGTTTTTTAAAACTGTCATCCACATATTAAACATAACCCGACTTGGAATTCTCTTATTTCAAAAATTGTCATTTGCAATCCTTTTGTAATTTAGGCAATATTGTATATTACTTTACACATTATCATACACATTTTTATTGCTTATCATATATTGGAATATATTTAGGCAATCTAGAGGAAAAGAGTCATGACTACAGCATTTTTTGCCTTGTCAGTATTTTAGTAAATATGATTCTAGAATTCATTAACTGAACCTTAAAACCTATTAGCCAAATTATATGTCCATAAGATAAATGATTTCTTTTGGTTTCTTCTTGTTTGTTTCCTTCCATATTCAGCCTTGAAGTTCTGGTGGCACTTTACAGACCCAGATATAAAATAGTTTTAAGTGTCATGTAGTTGCGTGCTAAGACAATGGATTGGTTTCCAGTGTTTGCTGTGGGACCACTTTCATGTTTATAGAAAACCGTGGTGGATGGGAGTGTCTCTGAAAGTGTATGTGTGTTTCTCTTATTGCACCCTCAGGAAAAACTATAACTTGCCCTTTTCTATTGAAAACACAGAAATACTTGTCTGGTTTCTAGGAAGGCACTTCAGAAAGAACATCATCACATGGTGGTTTAGCACCATTGTTAGTTTTATACGTTGCCAGCTTAGCAAATGTGTTGTCTTTCATATGCAAAGATAATTTTGAGAGACTTCTGACTCATCAGTCTGGTGGTAATGCAGTTACTTGGAGCTATTCATGCTCTTTTTCACGGAGGGTGAGACAGGTACTTCCTGTTAATAATTGAGGGAATAAAACTGGCTTTAAATCTGAGACTTAAGGTGGACTGGACCAGTAAACAAAAAACCTTGTTTAGAGGCTGCAGGCCTTCTGGTTCCGGTTTGCTGCTAACACTTGGGAACACAGTGTTCAAGTCACCTTCCACTCCGGTTTCTTGTAGAAAGAAACAGCAGTTCATCCACCTGCCAGAGTTATGGTACAATTAAAACTGATACTCTTGAGTGATGTTTCTTACCCTCGTAGTTTTCTCCAAAATCTTTTGTAACTCCTGTCGACTCAGTTTATAAATTCCTTCCTCTGGGTCCCCGTGAAAGTCTTGCATGTCCCACCTCCAGGTTTCCGTGCAGACTTTGTACACATCTCTGCTGTAGCATTTATTGCACTGTTGATGGCTGGGTGTCTTCCACCAGTCTGCGAGCTGCCGTGCCTCTTTATCCTCAAGTACGTGACACATTGTAAGCCCTCAGAACGTTAGTTTGGAGTGAATGTGGGACATTGTCTGAGTAGATACAGCTCATATTTGTGAAGCTCTACTGCTGAGCATCACAGTTTCAAAAACTTGAAAAATATTTTGATGTAATTACCTGCTTATCATTATTGTTAATTTTGCCTAATTACTTAAGTCTCTAATGCCAGAAAGGTGAAGGTCTCTCTTTTTTCTAAGCCTGATAATATCTAGTCAGGATGGACAGTATTGTTGAAGTAACTTTTTGTTTTAATACATTATTAATAATTCTGAGGGCCTTATTTAGCTTTTATTTGAATAAGTCATCTTTGAAAAAAGTAAGAATTTGGTCGGTAAAATGTCTGAGGCAAGACCGGTGAAATATTTCATTAAATGCTTACCATTGTAAATCAGAATTACTGAGATCCTTTTTGTTCTAACATTTCAAGTGCCACTGCCAACCTTTCTAGAAAAGAAATTGTCCATCACTTGATGAAGTGTTACTTCATGGGTCACTGTTTGTACAATACAAGGTCCAATGAAAACTTTGTGTCACTGTTACACCTAGTCTGAGCAAAGCTCTCTTTACTACCCTGTCCTCCAGTTTTTCCTGAGAAACATGTCCTTTCAACCTGTTAAGAAACGTGTCTCTGTGTGCGTGTTTGTGTACTTTGCCTGTGAGCGCCGTGGTGCGCCCTGGGAGTCACGTGTGTCGGCGTTTGTAACCTGCAGTCTTCTCCTTTCTTTGTTGAAGCGCTCTCCGTCCTGCACTCCAGCTAGCAAAGGCAGACGTGTAAGAGACTCGCGCACCGCGTGTCCCCGTCCTGACACCCCCCGCCCTCTCTCTTGTCCTCTTTGCCTGTGGTCGCAGAACATGCTGGCGTGTTTGTGACGTGCTGTTACATTGATCGCATGCTTCGTGCTGCTGCTCCTGCTGGTGCTGTTTGCTTTTCTGTGGGTTTTTTTTTCTTTCTTGTTTTTGTTTTTTGGCTTTGGCCGCAAAGCTTTAGGAATGTTCATATAAAGTTCTGTTAACCAAGCTACTAAAATTATAAGATATCTTTTATTTTGATTGTGGGAAAAAGTGATCCTAAAGTATGCTTTCTAAATTGATTTTATACAAAGTAAATGCGTTCCCAAATAAGAATCTGATGTAAGCAAATATGTAGAAATTTCCTAGAGATTTTCATTATATAGAAAGAATGAAATTCATATCATGCAGATTTCAAAAATTATTTGGGACAGGTTACAGATCTATAATTTTATGTAAATCAGTTCTGGAGAAATCTTCAATATTTTTATGTGGTTCAAAGGAAACCCCTATGTTACATTTCTAGATCTGGAGAACTAATGTCAATAAATACTTACGTTCTAAGATATACCCGAGATGTAAAGAATGGTCGTCACATTCTTTATACATGCACTGACAACAGACTACGGATATCTCCCTGTGCTGAGGCTAGCCCCGTATTTCTCAGTCTGAAAGGGGCCAGCCGCCTGCAAGATTCGCAGATGCCCAGAGTGGGGGACATGTTTGTGGGAAGGTCACAGATTTTTCCAAGCCGTCCTATACCCCAACACCGATATACATGTGCGCTCACTCCTCAGTCGGGAGGCAGTGGGCTAGCTGCCAGTGTGGGCCCTGGTTTTCATGTGCCTTGTGAAACAGTAACTCTGAAAGGGAAAGTCTGTGACTTACACACATTTTTTCCTTTTACTTGTCGGCTACTTGATCGTTGGTATTGATTAACACCTTAAATCCAGAATGCTTGGATTTGGAAAATTCTAGATCAGGGATTTGGTCGGGTGGCCCACTGCATCCTGTGCTCTTTATCTCTCTGGTGCGGTGGAGAGTCGGTGGTGAAATGAACACGGTGAGCTCTGATGCAGCAGGTGTTTTCAGACGGCTGTGCAGCAGCGAGTGAGCGGCGCAGATGCTGCGCGTCCGTGTCTGGAGCCAGTGCTGTGGCCAGCCCTGCTGACAGCTCCTTCATCAGTGGCGTTTATGGAAAGACTGGCTGGTTCAGCTGACTTCTTGACTGTTTTCACATTTGGGTGTTTGAATTTATCAGATTAATCTGGGTATATGTGAATTATATCCTGTCTAGGACGGAAGACCGAAATGTTGTGTGCTCAGTTGTATTAAGTTCAAATCAGCCTGTGACTTACCTAAACTTTAACTATTTGTTTTTGAATAAGGCTATAATTCAGAGGTTTGTTTTTCTGGTTAAATGTATTATAGATTAGTTACATCTGCTTGCTTTTTCAGACTTTTAGAGGCCTTGGCCACCCAAAAAATTTCTGTAGATTTTGAAATAAAAAGATTTTGAGGAAAGTAGCCACTATAAGGTCCCTGCTACTTAGTCTTTATTTTTATTCTGTAGGATAATAATAAGCCACACTTAACCAGAACCTATGCACTTAAAATTACACATTTTTTAAAAAATGCAGGTGTGACAGGCTTGGTAATTTGCTCTCCAGGCCCTCTTAGTTTTTCCTGAGCTGAGTGTCTGAGGAATGAAAAGTCGGCCGCTGGGCAGTGGAACGTGTGTGAGGGAGGCGTTTGCAGACTTCCCGCTCACTCGGTAGTTGATGGAGACATCTCAGTGGAGGAGTGAGGGGCAGCGTAGTCCCCAGGGACATCGATGTGTTGTACAGTGTAGGACACACACGTGTAGTTTCCATTTCTAACAGCAGCTTTGCATCTAATAGTAGCATGCAGTTGTCCATTATATACCATGTTTTTTTTAATTTTTTTGTATTTTAATCATTGTTCAAGTACAGTTCTCTCCCTTTTAGTCCCATTCCAGCCCACCCACCCAACCCTCCCCACTTCCTTCCCATTACCACCCTCCCCCTAGTTTTTGTCCATGTGTCCTTTAAGTTTGTTTCTGTATATACCATGTTTTTACACAAGCAAATATGTAATACTTTTATACTTTAAAATTCTTTAAGTGACTAAATATACAAGGTATATACTATATTTTTATTTTCAATATGTTATAAAACCTCATTTATAATTTGAATATTTATGTTCTTTATAAGTGGTGGTATTTAAATATGGTATAAGGAAGATTTGTTATTAATATCATTAATGTATGAATACAAATGGTTATGGAACAGTCCATTGTTTTCATTAGTAGAAGTACAGTGTCTCATTTTTAATTATTTCTCTAGAGTTTGAAGCAGAGATTATAAATAGCCAACATGTGGCTTAACTTTCTTCTGCATTTTCTTAGAACATTTTTGTAAATTCTCCAGAGTACATATTCAATCAATACATTGAAAATAGCTTGAGAAGTTTTCCTAAAGAGAAACAAATTACAATATTGGTAACTAGTAAGATTATACTTAACCTCTCATAACCTTTAGTAATTTATTATTTGTTTTAAAAAAGATAAAATATTATATTTACTGTCATCCAAATGATATAGTTAATATTTCTATAATACTGTTTTATATCGTAAGCTTAATTAACAGAAGTAATTATATTGCTAAAAGTTTGGGGTCAAAAAGTATTTCTGAATACAAACAAATAGGTTACCTGCCACTTTGTTTCCAAAATACTTCTAGCAGAAGGATAAAGAAAATTAATAAAAACTGGATTTTTTCTTAACTTAGAGTTTTATATTTACCGGTATAAAACAGCATGTTAGATTTAAGCTATGTTTAAATCTACATCAGTTCCATATCAGTCTTGGTATCTTTTACTTTAAAACCAGACTTCTTAGGAGAATGTTTTGATCTTTGTGTTTGTCTAAATCTGTAATTATTTTTGGAGTAGAAAAGACCCACTGATACATAGGCAAGATGAGTAATTTTAGTTGTTATTATTTATAAGAAGACCTACTGCATAGTTTGAGGAGTTCTTGTTTGGTGAGTCATCTGAAAATCAGATCTAGTTTGGGTGAGGTGGACTACTTGAAAGTTTTACTGCACTACTCTAAAAATAGGTATTGTGGGTTATTCGCGAGAGAAGTTCTGATAGATTCAGAAAGTATTACGGACTTTTTACATGACAGTGTTATGCATTGTGGACAGCATTGCTGATACTGTTTTTCTGCTTTTTTTCAAACAGTAGAACAGTAAGTAAAAATACACTGGAGTATAATAGATGTTTCTAATGCCAGTTTGTCAGGATAACTACTTAAGGTATGTTTAATTAGAAAAAAGAATGTTAACCAAAAAGAAAAAATCACATTTATATATTTATTTTTCTCAGTAGAATATAGTTTAGAAATATTGAGTGAATTGCTTATACTATTCTGTTAAGGTTTATTTTTAAGATTTTTCTTTGGGGAATATCAAAATATATTACTATATTATGTTAATGTTTGTGTATTTGCTAATTAATTAATATTAATATTACCTATTGCTTTTTAGTATTACCCCCTTTTTATCATCCTTTCTATAATTATAAACCCAATTATTAAATTAAGACAGCTCTGCATTTGATACATATCATATTTATTAGCTTTTCCTGCATTATTAATTCAAGTCATTACATTTAGTGCTTACATTAATTGCTTACATTATTTTTTATAACAGAATTTTTAACTTCCGTGGTTTAAATATATTAATGATTATACTTGTTTTAAAGGTGAAAATAATGTGCAATTAATTGCTTTGCTAACATTTTGAATCATTGCCAGTTAATTATTAAAATTAATTTGAGGCTATCTGTAAAACTTGGCATATAGTCATTGAGTACTGTGAAAGTTTTCTAAAATTAATTGCTTTTTAGTGGCTATAATAAACCATTAATTAGAAATACACTGGTAAACATTTAATTAAAAATAAAATTAGTAACATCTTCATAATCTCAGTTCTGTTGGTGATAATATGTTAACACTTTGATAAAGAAAATATGTAAGTGGTATTGTTTTTTTTACTGTTAAACCTCTTTTGAGATATTATTTATAATGATAGTTATCCAGAAAGGAAACAAAATATAACTTATTAAACTGATTAGCTGTTAGCTTCTAGGAGAATCTTTTAAAAATAGATTTCTTTTCAAGTTTGATATTCAAAACTTTTTTTCACATGTTTATTCATCTTTACCAAACTTGTTTCTTGTCTTTATAGAAACAAGCTGTTGGAAATAAAGTGGTAGTTTTTCCACTTCACTGATATATTCATTTTTTTAAATCAGAGTATCATTGTAAATGGCATAGTTTAACTTTTTAATATGCTCAATTAATGCCATCTCAAAATCTCATTCCAGTGTATTTATTTATTTTAATTTTTTTTTTAATTTACAATACTAACTTGATTTTACTTATTGCCTGGAATTTGTTTTTACTTTAAGAGCATACAGCTCCAAAAAGCTGGTATGGTAATTTTCTTTGTTCTACTTCAGCGATTTTCAGCCTTTTTCATCTCAGGACACACACAAACGAATTACGAAACTCTATGGCACACCAAAAAGTATAATTTCTGCCAATCTGAAAAAAAAGATGTAGTTTTGATTTTCACACCAGAGGGCTGGTGTTGTGTTGTCTGTTGTCGTTTTTTTATTTGACACCCTAAGGGAGGAGAGGTCAGTGCCCCGACTGGTCTTAGGTGTTGCACGTTTTAAAGATTCTCGAGGTGCACCTGTTGAAAATAGCAGTTCTGTTGTGTTACAGTGTGAAGTTGGGTTTTTTTTTTTTAATTTAAGTGTTTTTCGCTTTTGAATAACCAGTTTTTACCTCATTCAGCTAAGAAATTTCATTTTAAAATCTGTTCTCATTTTTAATTGTTTTCTTTTCATTGATGAGTAAAAACTTGCTAGGAGAAAAATACTCATAAATG